AATTAATAACAGATGAACCATGAAAATTTTTCTTTCTAGGTTCTTCCTGCATCTGTTGCTGAGATTTTGGAAATGTCTGAATTTGAAGCAAGTTTTGTAAACTGCAGAATACATTTCTTGGCATATGCAGCAGCACTACAAACGTGGCCTACCTTAAAAACGGAAATCTACTCCCTCTGAAACATCTGGAGACAAAAAACTGCAGTGGATCAGCCAAAATTTCAAAAATTATTTTACACACTGGAAGTCTACAACATGTGATTAGCAAAATAAATGATATACAGCTGCATGCAACTCATTTTGTTTGCTCCTCCACAGATTGAAGGGCTCCAAAAATACCATATTAGACCAAACATCTGTCAGACCCCCCAAAATTGTAATAAAAGGGTTTTAAGATAATTATTTTTGAATCCATTTCTAATTTTATTCTTGATTCACAGGTACCGCATCTCGGTTTCAAAACCATGTCCAACCGCTCACTTATCTCGTAATAATATAAGCAGGAAGAGCCGAACAAGATCGAAAAGACGTTGAACCTACTTATCGTCAGCATCGTCAAACCTGATAGAAAATCTCCTAAAATATAAGAACATAGTTTCAAAAAATGTAATAAGATATTTTCAATTAATGTAATAACAGATATAATATCTTATATACAATATATATACAATATGAGTTACCGAAATATAAAAAGTGCAGAAAACTAATATATACTTGTGAATTAGATGCTGCCTCTAAAAGTTCGTGAATAATTATGTGTATTATGCACATTTCAATCTTACAAAAATATTCCATATATATAACTCGGGGATTTCATGACTCGGGGATATATAACTCGGGAAATTTAATAAAATTCCTTACGCACTGTCTGGTTGTCCAGGTTGATCACTCGCCTTGACTTGCATGAAGAATAGAAACATAACGAACACAAGTCTGATCATGAGGAGAAAGAAATCAGTATTCACCATTGTTGATAATTTGTTATTGACTGTAAAAATTGCAAGACAAAATAGATCTTGCTATAAATATGATGACCGCAGGTTTATCTCAAATAATCAATAATGGAGTTCTCCAAATAGTCTCTAAATGAAGATCAATACAAGAACACTTATTTGAAAATTTTCATAAAATAGGAATGAGGTTCAAATGCTGAGCTCAGAAAACAATTAATGTGGTAAGTAATATATGACACATGAAAGCCTTTCACTCATCTCAATTATGCATTGCAAGATTACTCTCATATAAAGTCAATGTCAGGCACATCAAACTTATCATTATATTCGTGAGTAACGGCAAAATGTAGAAATTTTGGGTTATCCAATGTTCGGTCTATTTAGGTGTTCTCTCAAGGAATTATTTCAGTAAAAGTGGATAGTAAATAAACGTTTAAAACATTTTAGAATTTTTTTTCTAATAATGACGATCACGTTAATCCTAGTATCTTTTATTCCAGATAACAATTGCTATGCTTACTACTCACCCAAAATTTCTGGTATTTTGAGAGATACCTTCGACTTTGTTCCACGCTTCTACTGAATGATAAATAGCAGATAAAAATATTCAATGTGGTAAAAAAATCCTATAGAAATCTGAGGTAAATCAATCAAGGATATGAATTTTAACATTATTTCCAGTTATATTTTCAAATTTTTCTTATCGCATAATAAATGCTTTTTGAATAATTCGTGTTCTTGGTTCACTCTTTCGTCTGAAACTTTGTTTTTATGTCTTCCATCTGTCAATATCAAATCAAATTGCAGACGAAGTTGAGTATGAAATGTACATTAATTTAGAAAATTACAACATTAAACCATCTATGTAATTTACGCGGTTGGATAAAGTACGATAAAACTCACATCTTAGACCTAATTTGAATATTTCATGCCATATCGCGCACAAGCCATAACTGATTTCATTTTTAATTTTCTATATTCGCGTGTCATCCATACTTAATTTCGACCAAATGTTGATTTGAATTTGACAGGTGGGGAAAACAAAACGAATCTGAATCTTAAACAAAAGCATGATCAACTAGACTGCTTCTAACATTCTCCGTGACACGAACGATTTATAATACATGATTTGGCTCATATCCTTCAGTGCCACGGACATATATATACGTCATTTGGCACATACCGTTCAGTGTCATGGTTGTATCTATACGTCTTTCAAGAACGAAAAAATGAAGATATAGAAATTCAAGTTCAGGTATTTGCAGCCGTTTTTCTCTTTTCTCTCTCTTGTTACAAAGGTTGGGGAAGGCACGACTTAAGATCAATGAATCGCCTTCTTCATATTTTACTGCGATAAAAGTAGCGTCTCCCATCTACTAAACTATCATATTATGTAGTATGGCCAATGTACACATTAATCGTATATTTGGGAAAAAATTATATCCAACGCCGATTAACGCCATCACACCAAGTTTCAACTTCTTCCAGTCAAATGATTAAAGGATTTGAGAGACCAACTTATCAAACATGGCAAATTCGTAAATGCACCGTAGACAGACGGAATCCACCTACATGTTGTGTCACACCCGCTTAACAAAGATTATACCGTTTACATATTATTCGATTGTAGGTAATGTGTCTTTGTCGGATATATCAGAAACGAGAATAAACCGTTTTATTATAAATATTTTTAATTCCTTCTTGCATTTAGTCGCTACAACTGCGTTACATCAGTGAGAAATCGAACAGACGGAATACCTCTGTGAATTGCGAAATGAAACAAAATAGCACATCCTCTGTGCCAATGTACCGATACGACCTAATGCCCAAAATTAGTAAAATAACAATCTTAAACTGGAGTACTTCCGAGTCTAGTAAATGGCTTGGCGCTACTTTTCAACTTATTACTAAATTAAATTTTTCTTGTCGCATTTAAATCATATTGGAATGATTGTGGGTTATTGGATCATGCTTTTCGCCTCAGTATTTCTTGTTTCTTCAATCTGTGAACTATCAAACTAACTTGTAACCGAAGTAAAGTATGGAAAGCATACAAATCTAGAAAAAATCCACATAAAAAAATCTATGGCTTATGTGCGACTAGATAATTTTACGTACAATTTTGATTTCATTTGAATAGTTTTATCCCTTATCGCGCATAAGACATACATGATTTATTTTTAACTTTATCTATATATCATGTACCTTCCATACTGAACCTATGCAACAACCTTGATTTGACATTGACAGATGAAAGAGACGAAAACAAAAATAATGCCAGAATGAATCGTGATCAAGGAGACAACTTTCAGGCCGCATTGACTTTGAATGAAATAGGAAAAAAAGGGAAATATTACTGGATTTACAGCGCAAGTTCTTGTGCTTAAACAGCTTATATCTTGATTACTCTGCAATGTCTTTGTAATCCAAAAATTAAACATCGTTAAAAAGAGCATCGTTTTTTGACAAATGGACAAATCTATATGAAACTTCAATGACTCATCCATTTACAATAATTCTTGTAATAATATAGTACTTTTAATAACATATACTGTAAACCAAGATGGAAGCAAGATGTATATATATGCAGTGGGAGTATAACAGGAAATGAGTATGGTAGGATTATTGCAAGAATTATTGTGCATTGATGATTCATGAAAGTTTCATATAGATTTGTCAAAAAACTATGCTCTAGTTTCTATAATATTAAAAAAACAGAATATCTGTTTCTGAAGATTAGTAGAGATGAACCTTACACGATCTCTTGCATTTATATTCAATGTAACATTCATGACTTCGAGGTATCTCAGACAGTTCAGAATGAATAAAGAAAACGTGAATCAGACAAAAGTGATCAAGAAGAAGCGTGTGTGATGTGTGGTTTGTATAGGCCTCACAATGAACGCATTATAAAATCTTAACAAACGATAAGGAAATACTTCACAATACAACAAAACAAATGGTTCACCTATACAAAAGAGGTTTTTTATACCTTCCAAGTCAACAGTTAAAACGTTTAGATGGAAAATGATCTGCCAAGGTTTCACTAAGAAGAAGTTTTTCGCTATTGCAAATATGCGGACGACATGATACATAACTCTATTTTTAACAATGTTCAATTTTGGATTATACGCCGTACAAGACCCTGACATTGCACAATAATCTAGATATATGCTGTTTAAGCATAAGAACCTGCGCTGTAAATCAAGTTATATTTCCAATTTTTTTCCTATTTTATTCAAAGTCAATGCGGTCTTGAAAGTTGTTTCCTTGATCACGCTTCATTCCGGCATTGTTTTTGTTTTCGTCTCTTCCATCTGTCAATGTCAAATCCTATTGTTGCCTAGGTTAAGTATGGAAAGTACATAGTGTAGATAAAATTAAAATGAAATCATGTATGTCTTACGCGCGATAAGGTATAAAACTATTCAAATGAAATCTAAACTGAACGTTTATCTTATCCAACCACACATAAGCCATAGATGGTTTAATGTGGAGTAAATATTGGGACGGAATTTTTACAAACATTTGAGGAAACATTTATTCACGATATTTATAGCGAGATCTCTTTTTTTCTCAAAAAATTGTTATTTGTTCTTCAAAAAAGCCAATTTTCACAGTCAATTACAAAATATCAACAATAACAAAAGCTGATTTTTTTCTTCTTACGATTGGACCTCTGTTCATTTGGTTTTTATTCTTCATGTAAGCCAAAGCAAGTGATCTACCTGGACCACAAGACATTGCGTAATGAATATTATTAAAATTTGTGAAAATCTTCAGGTTTTATATCAACTATTGTCGAAAGGTTGAAAATGCATATTAGACATAAATATTCACCAACTTTCAGAAGCAGCATCTAATTCACTGGTTAAAGCTTTGTTTCTTGTACTTTTTATATTCTTGTAACTTGTTGATGGCTAAAGTATTTAGACATTTGCATTAGTATTATAACATCTACTTGCAATTGAAATACCCTAAAATGCTAGTGTGCTAAATATGTTTGCCTTACGTGATTTGACACACGAACAGGAAGACTTAATATACAAAGATACTGGTAGAATTCGTTTCATTCAGATGAGAACCTCTTACCAACAGCTTCGAATTCTCTCTCCGACAACTTTCCAATTGACAAAGGATATTTTGAAGTAAGTAAACTTTGATGCATTGCTCTTTATTACTAAATATTTCTGACTAGAGAAATGAACTTCAGAGCGCAAGACCTCAAAGCTGAAGAATGTTTTATTTTATTCAAATCTATAACTTTGTTTAAAAACCTGGTTGATCTTTTGTTAAGTACTGCTGAACCGTTTGTTGAAAATGTCCATCTATTCACATAGTAGATTTGCTAATTAATTAGTTCAGTAGTAGAAAAATTAAAATTAAAAAATACTCCCCCCCCCCTCCCTTCTCAAGTATGCTCACCACATTTTCAAATTAGGCGGGGGATGGGGTGGTTTCCAAATTGATGAGTTGTAAATATTTTGCTATTAGTGATAAATCTATTTGTGACACATAAAAATGTGTTATGTATTTATATGGAGGGGTGGGGCGTTAACTGTCTATAGGGAGTTCGTTTAGGGAGATTACTAACCCCATAATAACAAAATGTTCACAAATTACTTTACGTACCGAACATATTAAATATATCAATGTCAAAATTCTACTCTAATAAACCGCATCCTCATTCTGATAATCATTTTTAGGTGAACTCAGTCCAGATTTTAGAGTAGATTTTTCGTTTTTGCGCTTTGCTATCTGATGATTTCAATTAATTTAAACTAGATTGTCAATCAACATTGTTCAACAATGACCAATACAATATACGTTTTCGTTATGATTGCACTGATATCCGTTACAGTTCTCTTCCTGCACATGGTTGTAATATCTGAGACGGGTCCAGTAGGCCGTGAGTAATTGATACTAAATTGAATGCAATTTCATTCTGAATATCATTAGTGAAAAAATCATAGTTGTCTAAGATACAGCAAACATCCTCTGAAATACTCTAAAAAATCGTCAGTGGTTAATTATCAACTAACATTTCGACCTAACTTCAATATTGTTAAAAAGCATCACTCGTTCAATGTTAACTAGAATTTTGTCGTAACTTCAATACTGTTAAAAATGCACCATTCATTAATTGTTAACTGGCATTTTGCCGTTGGAAAATGATACAGATGCAAATTTTCTGGGTGCAGATGTACATGAGCGAAAATATAATGGGACCTAGTCTTTAATTTTGCGAGTATGGTATGGCGCCTACGGCTTGTTTTAAGTGCTTGTATCTGTTATTTATTTTGTGGTGGGACACAGAACGAATAAATAAATGAGAAAAGTTTTTTTATTTGATATTACCGGCTTTGACTATGGAATTGTCAATCTCATGATATTCAATTTAAATTTTTCCAGTATATATTTACTTCATATATCAAAGTGCCTAACGTATAAAGATATGGTGTCTAACTAGACTTCATTATATATACATCGATGATTTTATTATACTTTTTCAGCTCCTGGAAACTTCAATGGACCTGACAATATTGACGAAGGGCAGGTATATGAACAAATTTGTTTAATTCAGCTGAATTTGGGGCATATGTCGGAAATAAATATATTTTTATTTCAGATAAACTTCGATGATTAAAAGACATCAATTATCCTGGATATGATGACTAATATAAATATACTTTATGCAGAGAATTTTTCAAATGACTTGTGGGCGAAATATTGATTTTATAGTAGATTCCCACACTGTACTGGACTATATATGTATTCGGTTTTGGCATATCCAACCCTTTTTCGTCATTCATATTATTTTTGATTTTGCTGATTTTTATGCTAAACAACAAGTGAGACGCGCTCAAATATATGAATACAAAGGCCAAACGAAGTAGTATTAATCTTTTACAGTACCAGTAGTTTGATTACATGGTCAGTGGAACCTTTTTTAGGTGACGGGCCGATAAAGCCTGACCAAAATTTTGGCTGAACACATATATACAAACGAACTTGGATACAGTTATAAGCATATGTAATAAATATTACGAGTTACAAAATTTATTTGGCATATTCGAAAATATATTAGAAAACAAAAGTGATGCTATTTAATCGAGATCTGCATTTGTTTGCTGCCCATTTACTGTTCCCAATTAGGAGACATTGTCGACAGAATACACGTAACATGTTGCTCACATCCATCCTATTTCGGTATTTCGTCGTTGACAAGACCATCTCATCGTGCGAAGAAGTTTCTATAGATTCATTGCCTCATTTGAGAGCTTAGTATGACAACGGTTGGGAAACTGGACAAATTTCGTTACTGTCACGTACGGTTACAAATCCAACAGCCACGTTGTTAGCAAGAATCATTTTGTTTGAGAAATCCTATTTGGACTGATATAAAACTTTCTCACGCAGAGGCAAAATTGATGCAGCAATATTGCGACACATTAAACTTTCACTAAAATTAGGTTATGTCACAGTGAAACTGGTAAACCAAAGCCAAAATTTTCTCCCGTGTAAAATGCATTACGGCTCTAGTTGTTTTCCTGACTCAGCTCACTGAGCATATATACAATGAGTGGAAACTTCCAAATATTTGCTCATTAATCCATTGTCCCCAGCATTTTTACGTCGTCCAGCTAAATGGTTCGTTGCACATGGAGAAAGCATATCGCTCGCTGCAAAAATCCTTTGCTTCGGCCCGCGAAATTGGCCGTATTGAGGCTTCTAATTTTTCGATTCGTGTTCGGTTTTGGGTTTCGAAGTATGGTACGTTGAAAGTATACTAACTATGAGCATATGCTTATTGGGAATGTATATATATTAGGCAGAAAACGTAGCTATAGCACAGAATATAAAGTCAAGTGCGGTATTTTCTAATTAATAGCAATGGGATTTAGGTACATTATTTATCCAGGGGAAAGCAATGGCGATAAGAAGGCCTAAATGTATGGCGAACCACGGCTTCTCACAATCATAGTTTATAAGGTGCTACATACGAATCCCCAGGGCTCCCCTATTTTAAATTACTCTGTCAGTCTGGGATATCTTGACATTAAAAACGAAGACAAAAATTCGAAGTATAGCAGGGAATCGGCTTTCCTCTCCACATGGGTAAATATCTTAACCCCATCCTATTATCAATGAATACAATGCCCCACGTCCCCCTTTACATGGGTCGCATTCCGTTTGAGAATTTTTTCATGCGAAAACTTCTTCCACAAAAAGCAGGCACCGTCGTTTTACGGTCGCGCATTATGACTTTCGGTCAAAACGATATTATTCGTGTATTATCATTGCAGCGCAATCACACCGTCAGACTTTTTTATCTTTACGACATGTTATCTTTTTTAGTTGGCGCTAATAATGATAAATAAGAATGCGTGATTGTTATTCAGTAACGCGCATGTAACCGTAGTTTAGGGCGTTCAAAATGAAAGAAGGGTTATAAGCTAATTTAAGGACTTCTCTTTATTTTAATACAAATACAGGGCGCATTAAAAGCAAAATAGAATTTATTAACATAAATTTACAACGAGTTACGTAAAATTTACCAACGGCTATCGCCAACAGGCAGAAACGATGAATGTAAGAATTTTTTGTTTTGTTCCATTTTTGCGCCATCTTATTTTTCAATTTCTAATTTTGCGTGAATCGCGTCAACATCGTTTTTGTTAATTTTAAAAAGTTGAATCAGATAAGCAAGGCATGTGAATAAGGTATTTTATGCAAATTTCCCGAGATATTGTGGGGAGAAATAATATTTTGACCACGTAGAAATGCCATTATTGCTGATTTATTCACGTGTTAAGTATCAGTGTTTGAAATCAAAGCTGAGTTACGTGAATACTCAACAATTTGCGGAGTTTTTTAATTATTATTTAATACGAAAGTAACACGGAAACGATATAAAATTAAAACATAAAAATGTCAATTTATCAGCTTCACAAATATCGCATCCCGGGGTCGGTGAGGATAATATTGTTCGCTCAAAATTGGGACCGTAACTGTGATACAAATCCTATACAGAAGATAAAAATCAGAATAAAATTAGTTTTTGTTGTGAATGCATCCCTTAATAGTTGTCTTTAACATCTTCGCCGGTATTCGTTAAAATATTCAAATAATTTTATATAAAAAAATACGATTTTGCCCACCACTAATCACGACGCATGTAAATAATCATTGAATGACAATAAAAAATCAACTTTATTAGCATTAAATTCCAAGTAAAAGTTCCACATTTCATGCAATCGATCGGCGCTACACGTGAGCGTGTTTTTGTATATATTCACCAAAACCGTCAGAGTCGAGCTACACGTAACTGTGGAATTTCGCTGTGAACGACGCATTGTTTTTAATTTATTACCCGCCTTACGCCGTCATGAATTGAAATTTTGGTGCACTGTTTTAAAACCACCGTAATTCCCAGTATCTATATATATGACTATATGAAGGATCGTTAAAATTAAATAATATATATGCAAAAATCAGAATTGATAACAAAATGTACTCTAAATAATATAATAATTTTTTTTTTTTCGTAAATTCACAAGACATAAAAACGGCAAATTTAAAATTTCAATGGCAAGATATCCCAGAGTAATTTAAAGTTAAAATCAGTATTTTTAATAAGTAAACGAATAGCTTACAAAGTCCTGGAGTCTGTATATATTCAGGCTTTCCTCTCTCCATGGATAAATATGTGAGCCCTATGTTGTATCAATGAATAAATACAGCAATAACCGCACCCCACGTGGCCACCCCAAAACCGAACACGAATCGAAAAATTAAAACCCTCAATACGGCCAATTTCTCACCCAGCCCAGATATGCTTTCTCCATATGCAACGAACCATTTAGCTGGACGAGGTAAAAATGCAGGGCACAATGGATTAATGAGCAAATATTTGGAAGTTTCCACTCATTGTATATAGCTCATTGCTCAGCTTCAGAGACCTTCCTATATTTTGCCAAACACTATTAAATTTATCTATCGTTTTCTATACCATCTAACGGACTATAGGGTATGTAATAAAACCTGAGTAGGCATTCTGATAATCAGAAGTAACGTGGGTAACGTAACACCAGGTGGTGCTTTATGCTTTATTGGCTAAACTCAATACTATTATCAGTACCGGTTGCGCCTTAGCCTATGTATGAATATAAACGCCACTTACGGTTGGTAAATTTACGGTTAAATGGTTTTGAATAATTCTAATGTTCATTGTATCAATATATTTCAATGACCTTGTAATTTAAAAAAATATATCAATTTTATGACCTTGAATTATTCAGTTTCTCTGTTCTACGTTGGTACTATTGTACTGATGATAACTGTTTTTTAATTCATCCATAAACTATTATATAAAACGAACAAACGATTGTTTTCAAAAGCTTGTTTTTAATTTTTATGTTAGTTGTTGATACAGATATTTGGTTCAACTCTGAAGATTTTGCCAAAAAGTAAGTATATATAGTATATAAGGAGTTTCTTGTTATTCGTGAGGTTCAAATATTTTACAATACATTTTATTATGTTTTTAAGAAAGAAGTCAATTAGCAGTAAATCCTCGAAACTTATCTATTTCGATTATTTATCACTGTCAACCTATTTGTTTTTTTTAATTCAGGTGAGCTTCGATTTTTTCAATGTTTTTTTGCATATCATGTAATATCATGAACAGATCAATGGGCTTTATGTAATAATTGTATCACTCATAATTGCAATAAGGAATTATATTTTAAACAATATTTTGAAATGACGCTTAAAAAAAATAAATTTCACATACCTTCTATATCTTAATTAGTTCGGTTTTAATTTTTTTTTTTTTTACAGGTAAACACCGATTTCCTTCATGTCTTTGTGAACCATTACTTGTGATCTGATTATAAATTAGCATTATGTATATCGTATATAAAAAAATTTCACTTATAATTGCAAACATGAATTATATTTTGGATGATATTTTGTAATAACGACGTTTAAAAAGACTAATTCTCATAATAATAGGGAAGAAACAAATAATCTCACTTAAATGTTATCCTATCCTATCCAAATGAATCTAAATATTTTATAATATTAATTTGGAAGGCCTGTGAGAGTATAAGATCGAAGAATATATGAAACAGATCTATTTAGGAGCGACGAGTTTGAAGTATGTAATATTACATAATTTTACAGTTTATACGAAACACGTATTCGCCATACCAGAAACATGCAATAAACAATAATTACGTGAGGAAATAGAATTGAGAGACAATGGAAATACGTGTATCGCCAAACACAGATAATGTAAAACAGCAAAACATTTGCAGCGTAATACCTATGTCTTACGTTTAATATCAACGCGTATACGTTTGTTCTCCCGTATGACGCTTCTACGTTGTACGTTTGTACTTTATTGTCTCGTATTTTCAATCGTTACTTTATTCATTTTATTCAATTCGTATATATTGCTTCACTTGCACTGCACATAAACCTGAGTTGACTTGTATCTGAACACTTGAAATACACAATTGCACCGTTAGAGCGTTGTTGATATTTCCGACGGTTCCATTACATTTGTACATTTACAACCCACGTACATTTGAACCCGTAATTTGGACCCACGACAACTGCAACTGCACCTAGGGAAATTTGCACCTACGGATATTCGAACCCATACTAACCCTAACCCATGGATTTTAGCATCCGCATATAGATTGAACCCGCGGATATACGGATGAAAATGTATGGGTTCAAATGTGCTGTCACCAACTGTTTCCGATTGTTTTATGTTGTATATTGGGACAACAGAAAAGCTGAGTATTTTGCCAGTATTCTAAAGAAGTCAATAGTCGTTTAGCGAGGAAGAAGGTCATTTCTATTACTCTCGATCGCCGTCGCCTTTAAACCCCGCTACGTTACACAATATATTGACCAATGGGAACAGTGCAATCAAATATGAGTACAGTGTCCAATTCAATAATATGATTCATATTCTGGGGTTGAAATTTGATATAGGAATAGAAAAATTGAAAATATACTCGGATGAAGATGTATAAGGCGCCAATAGTTCTCATAGCGATGACAAGAATCTTCTTTGTTTTGTCAACCGCATCACCTAGTGGCGGTTTGCTACTTCAGACACTCGACGGAGAGCGCTTACATTGTCGCCGCGATGTTCGCTTACTCCTGAATGAGGGAAGCGAAATTTTGCATTTATCTTGGTAGCTACTTATCGCTCAATGTTTTCAAAATTCATTGTTTGAAGGTTTTGTTTTTTATTGTTTTCGGCTTTAATTGAACAATTTTCAATTTTTCGACGTAATCGAAATGAATGTGTAAATTAGAATCCTTGCGAGGAAATGGCGGCGATATCCACCACGCAACCGTGCAAAGGTGTCGCAGCAATAAGTGACGCACGCATAAGATAAACCATCAAAGTGCCGATTTAATTTCATCGTCACAATACGTGCAGACAAAGCGCAAAAATTCGCTTGAAGATTATCCTCGAAAACGAAACACTGTGCTAACGACGAAAAGTGTTGAAAATTATTTTATTCGGAAAAATTTTGGAAAAGGTATTCGAATGTATTTAATTCGTTTTGGACAACTCTGCTTTCGAGCAAAATAATAAAACATCTCATTGTCTGATTTAAAGAGTTTAACATGTAGTTTGCAGAGAGTTAGAGTGTAGAGGTTAGAGTTTAACATGTAGTTTGAGGGAATATCGTAATCTTACTCCAGCGTACTTGATCTATACATGATTCATTTCATAAATCTCTATTCATATTCTTCCGATACGTAATATTGGCTAGTAAGACTTTAATATTGACAAATTGAAAATAAGACAGAATAAGGTATTGCAACATTTTTGATGCTCATTTTGAGAGTGTTTCTGCTAATAGTCGACGGCTTGTGCAAGTAATCGACGACTAAAATTGGAGGCAAAACAAAACATGTCGTTCTATCCATTTATTTTGTAACTTTGTAGAACTTGACAAAAATATTGACCATAAATAAGAAATAAGGAAATGATTTTCTTGCGACAAAATTAGTCATATTAAGTATGCGAAAATGATTTTTTTTCAGTATTTAGTTTTTAATGTGATGATTTATTTGAATCCAGTAATTACCATATTCACACATACATACATACAAATATATTTTCCGTAGTTATAAGATTCAGTTATAAGATTCAGAATAATACAAGAACATTGAAGATGCATGATGATAATCGATGTTCACCTGAAATATGAAAAAAGAGTTATGTTAGCTTTAATAAATGAATATTACATTCGATAGAAAAGAACTGTTTATGTCTGAAATGTGATTGATGAATCCTGATCACAAAATGTTTTCACAAATGTTGAAAATTTCAAAGATATCAAGAAGGAATAAAAATCAATTAATGTTACAAAAAAGAACGCCGATGCATTTTTGAATATTCTAATGTAAAAGAAGAATTAAAAGTTTTAATATACGTACTTTCCTCCAGAATTGACAAAGCTGAGCAGTGTATCTATATCAGAAACTGGAATAAAATATTTTTTGCTAAGTATCTTAATTAGAATCAATGCTTGATTTCATAAGAAAATCGTTATCATCTATTATCATGAAGTACATCCGTTATCAGTAAGCAGTGAGCTTATCACAATTAGTGATGTTAATTCAGAATGCTGGTAAAACATGAATTATGCATATTTAGAATAAACTAATTGTTTGTTTGCGTGTGAAGTTTTTAGACGATAACGTATTTGAATTTTAAATATTCACAAATTGTACCTAAACAACTAAACTTAAATATAATCAAAATTACGTACTTCCCCGGGTCGGGATGATTCTCGCAGTCACTTCCAAGGAGAATAGAATTGTAAGGAACGTCAATGCAATCACAAAATGAAGAAATACACTTATATTCGCCATTGTCAAAATATGATTGAATGCAAATAGAGATTTTCTGAAAGAAATAATAAAATTTAATTAAAGAAACAAATCATCCTATTGTCTGTTCACATCTGATTACAATTTTTTTTTAATTGTGACTACTGAAGTGAAAAGTTAATAGTTATTACTGAAAAGAGCCAAAAGCTGCTATTTCGATCAGAAATAAGGCGGCGCCATGGATATCGATCAATGGGAGACTTATTAAATATTAAATTAATATACTCAATAACATAAGCTCGACATATTCTTGGTATACTAATTTTAGCACAGATAAGCGTAATATTTACGATTTCATGTGCATAATTAGCTGCTTAATCATGGGATCACACGACCAAATACAATAAAACTTTGTGTCAATTGTTTGGGTATTTTAAGTGTTAAGCAGATGAATGAGTATCCATCGCCATCGGAAACAATACATTTAACATTTCTTACACTCCTTTTTCTATAGTTTCTCATATATATATATATAATATATCTTATGCCAAGGTCTAAAAAAAAGAAAACAGCTTATTTCAAACCTCACCAACAATTCATTTATTGTTGTTATTTGCGAAGACCCAAAGCTCCTGACGAGACGCTTTCTCTAGAATGATGGAAAGTCTTCAACGTGCTCCTGTATTATACAGCATTACTACATCAAACTAGATCAAACCATTCAATGCGGTAAAAATAACTTTATATCGGCATTTTCTAGTAACTCTTATTTACAACACTGAAAATGGATCTGAATTTATGTTGTATTTGCAGTTAAATATTCTAATTTTCCTCGAAATCTTCAAAAGCAATCTGTCTGGAATTGTTTCCTTCTTCGTCACGCTTTTGTCTGGATCTTAGTATTGTTTTTGTTTTTTTCTTTTCTACATGTCAAAGTCTTGTCAGTCAATATTACGTATGGGGAATATATGAATGTAGAAAAATTTAAAATGGTATAATGTATGGATCATGTACGCTGGGGTAAGAATGTGTGCCCGTAAACTTCATGCCGCACTTTTAAAACATACATTAATCCCCTTATTTAGGAAAAAGCGAAAATCGTGGCGACAACATAGGTGATCTCTGTCGGATGTCTGAAGTAGTAAACCGCCACTAGGTCATGTAGTTGACGAAACAAAGCTCTATTTTAAATCACACTCACGTGGCCGCTGGTCTAGGTCATAGGTTCTCAAAGTGCTCCGTACTGAGACCCAAGGCTCCGCAAAGAGAAACTTAGGGGCTCCGCGAGATATTCGATTACTTAACAAAATACTGACTTGGCTAATTTTGTACCTGTTCGAAAAAGCAATAACAGCATTAATAAAATTTGACAACAGTAGCGTCGAAATATGGCAACAAGGCGGTAGGCTAATTCAATATGACATTATAAGCAGGAGCGCAGCCAGGATTTTTAAATGGAAGGGGGGGGGGGAGGTCAAAATTGGAATTTCCCGCGCAACATTCTTAGCTTGTCATATTAATTTATTTGTGTTCATCGTTACTCGCCTTTGAGTCGAGATTACTATTGCGATTACTAAAATGAAAAATTACTATTCTCAAAATAACATAATGTACGTGGCAAACTGCCAACTATAAATAGATTGGAAGGGTATTTTTGCGGGGTCTTGGCATTCGTCAAATTTAAGTTGTTCTTCCAGCACTCAAGATTATTTTTAAGCAAGCTATCGCCATTGCAAACATCCCAAGGTCGGGCGTTAAAATCTGAATGAGTACGATTTACTATTGCGCAATCCATGGCCGATGCGGGCTTATTTAAAATGCCCGGCTATCTGCGAACAAGAAATGAGGAACAATAAAACAAAGTAAACGAAGCTCTTGTGGACTACCTGGATTCTTATATCTGTCAGTAGTCTGACAGAGTTTAGAATGTATCTCAGACTGTTTAAAACTTACTTTACTAGACACAATTTGGTAAAATACTTGAATACCAGAAATGATTTATACTTTGAACGAGCGAAGTCATATATATAGGAAAGTTCCATAAAAATGGAAAGATGAGATAAACTATAAAATGATTCAATGTCTGTTTATAAGTTAAAGTGCGGCATGAAGTTAATGGCATATATCAGCGGTTCCCAAACTATGGTCGCGACCCACTGGTGGGGTCGCAAAAGGAATCTTAGTGGGTCGTGGGAAAATGTAGAAAGCTTTGATTGAATATACTGGTTATTAGTATCGGTGGTGACTCGAATACGTAAATCTTCAAAAAAAAAAATTGAATTGAATTTAAATTCTAATCTGTGAAAGAATGACCATGTGGCTTTTTACGCATAGCAGTTTTGAACACTGGACAGCACTTGTTACCGTGTTTCCCCGATAATTAGACAGGATTTAGATTTATTTCCTTTTGAAGGATAACACTATTTTTGGAAGAGGTCTTTTGTGTTGATTTATAAAAAATAAAATTACTTTGTAGAAAATCTCAGGATTTTTTACTAGAAAAAAACGACATTCATTGTTTCTATTTGTATTTCCTTTACAAAAATCAAGTGACAAATATCATAATTGTGATTGTGACATCACACAATCTTGAATAGTGATGTCATCTTCACCTTACCTCAGGCCAATGAACCTTTCCTCTCGCACACATTTTTAATTTCTTTTAAGGGTAGGGTTATATTAAAATCATTTTCAAAATTCAAATTATTATCTTATTTTCAGACCAGGCCTTTTTTTCGAGAAAAGAAGGTAGTTTTGCGATGATTAGCCATTGCTGTGTTCTGTGTTATGTCATAAAAAAAAACAAAAGAAAATTAAACTTAAGTGGGTCGCCATAAGCTGTGGTAATAAATAGTGGGTCCCAACTCTAAAAAGTTTGGGAACCACTGGCATATATTATTCTTACCCCAGCGTACATTATTTCATTTCAGATTTATCAACATTCATGTAATCCCCATACGGGATATTGGCTGACCAGACTTTGACATTGACAAGTGGAAAACAATACTAAGAATCAGACAAAAACGTGATGAAGAAGGAAAACAATCATATATATGAAACTCTTAGATAAATGAGTTCAAGAACTGTTTCAACGTATTGGTCCTGATAGATGATAGCGTCATTCATCTGCTTAACACTTAGAATATCCAAACAATTGACACAAGTTTCATCATATTTGTTCGTGTGATCACATGAATAAGCAGATACACGCATGTAATCGTGGAATATGATATCTTTTGTGCTACAATTAGTGTACCAAGAATATCTCAAGCTTCCTATCATTTATTGAAATACTGATTTATTATTCATTAAGTCTCCCGTTGATAGATATTCATGGTGCAGCCTTATTCTGATCAAATAGCAGCTTTTGGCTCTTTTTAGTAATAACTGTTAACTTTTCACTTCAGTAGCCACAACTAAAAAAATTGTAATCAGATGTGAACAGACATTATGATGATTTGTTTCTTTTATTAAACTTTATTATTTTTTTTAGGAAATCTCTATTTGCATTTATATTTTGACAATTGCGAATATATGTGTATTTCTTCATTTTGGAATTGCATTGATGTTCTTCACAATTTTCTTCTCCTTGAAAAAGACTGCGAGAACCATACGGAAGCCATCTACGGGCTGTACATAATTTTCATTATATTTGGGTTTAGTTTTTTATGTTGAATTGAAAAGTATTCGAAATCCAAACACGCCATTGCGTATTTCATATGCATACAATCTATTAGTTTATTTTATGAATGTGCATACTGCATAATTCATACTTTGCCAGCATTTTGAAGACGTCACAACATCACTAATTGTAATAAGCCCACTGCTTAATGATAACAGTTGTACTTACTGATAATAGATGATAACGATTTTTATTTAAAACCAAGCATTGATTTTAATTGGGATACCTAATAAAACTATTTTATTCTAGTTGCTGATATAGATTCTGTTCATATTCAATTCTGAAGGGAAGTACGTATATTAAAATATCTGATTCATCAAAAATGTATTAGCGTTTTTTTTTTTGTAACAATAATTTATTTTTATTCCTTCACTGAAATCCTTGAATCTTGATCTAGAATCATCAACCAGATTTCAGACACAACCAGTTCTTTACTATCGAATGTATATCTTCTAGCTGCAGCTGGGCGTCTTGTGACCTATTTCCGACAATCCTGAAAAGACCAGACAAGCACTAAAGATGGACAAAAAAATTAACGCCAGCAAGAGCTCATACCCGATGTCTTAACGAGGTGGAGCTCTACATAAAATATTACTGCTCTTATTATGTTTAAGAAAAATTCAAGAGCTGAAAACACTCTTTCTGCCTTGACTGACGTGGGTTTAATTGTATTTGGGCAGCGTACAACTCCCAGACGTAACTTCAGACTGTGAATCATTCTGATTGTAATGTCAGACCGCTACTTAGTCTGACTGACTCAAACTGTAGACGTGGATTGCTTTTTCAAAATGAGTATTAAATAAAATGGTATAACCTATCATTTGTGAGAATATCTATATGTGGATAACAAAGCCCTAAAGTTTTTTAAGGTTTAAAGCCCGGGATTTTTAGGAAATAATTTCGAGATCAAGATTGAAAAAAACAGTCCAAATCCCGGGATCGGGATTTTCTGGGGTCTTGACCCTACTTAAACTACATTTCGCACTTTAACCTTCTCATCTATTCAATTTTTAGAACTTGAAGGGCAAGTATGGTTAGAATATATTTAAGTATTATATTATTTGACCATGGGTAATACGATTAAAAAAAGATAGGTATATATTTATATGAGCACAATCCTATATATTGGATACCCGTACTTTTTTTTCTTTACGTTATTAAGCTTTGACAAAACCATAGAAAATGATAAATTTCATTCAATGATAAAAAACATTCAGCGATAAGTAGCGACCAAGACAAAGCAATACAAGGTGCTTGTCATCGTCGCTATCAGAGTTAAGTTTTGCAATGCCACCAGATGATCATATTACTTGTCCCTCAAGTTCTAAAAAATAGATAGATGAGATAAATAAAATATACCACCTTAATGTCTCTTTTAAAAGTTTTTAAAGTGTATTTTTAAGGCATACATTATTCTTACCCCAGCGTACATGATCCATACATCATTTCATTTTAGATTTTTTTACATTCCCTATATTCCCATTCATAATATTGCCTGACAAGACTTTGACATGTGCAAGTGAACAAATCAAAAAAAAATACTAAGATTCAGACAAAAACGTGATGAAGAAGGAGAACAGGAAAACATTTCCAGACTGATTGCTTTCAAAAATTTTAGGGAAAATTAGAATATTTAACTGAAAATACGACATAAACTCTATTCCATTTTCAGTGTTGTATATAAGAGTTACTGAAAAATGCCGATATAAGGTTATTTTTACCGCATTGAATGGTTTGATCTGAATGTAGTAATGCTGTATAATACAGACGCACGTTGAAAATTTTCATCATTCGGGAAAAGGCGTCTCGTCGGGAGCTTTGGGTCTTCGCGAATAACAAGAATAAAGGAATTGTCGGTGAGATTTGAAATAAGCTGTTTTATCAAATCTTTTCAGACTTCGGTATAAAAAATATTACATATGAGAAACTGTTAGATAAAAGAGTGTAAGAAATGTTTAACTGTATTGTTTTTGATGGATACTAGCGTCATTCATCTGCTTAAAACAGTTGAAACGACGTTTCATCATATTTGGATTTGGTCGTATGATTCCACCTAATCGAAAATTCGATATTCACTTGTGCTAAAATTAGTATACGTCGTATATGTATACTAGTATATCTCGAGCTTCCAATCATTTTCTTGGCTATATTGATTTAATATTCATTAATTCTCGCGTTGATCGAAATCTATGGCGCGCATATTAAAATAAAACTTTATTATTTTTCTAGGAAACCTCTATTTGCAATCAATTCCATTTTGACAATGGAGAATATAAGTGTATTTATTCATTTTGTGATTGCATTGATGTTCCTCACAATACTCTTCCACATGCAAGTGAAAGCAAAAGTCATACGTCCTCCCAGCGGTTGTACGTAATTAAATTATATTTAGGTTCAGTTGTTTTGAATGTGGATAATTCAAGTTTTGCCAGCATTTTATCACTAATTGTAATAAATTCACTGCCTACTCATAACGGATGTACTTACAGATAATAGATGATAACGATTTTTATATAAAACCAAGCATCGATTCTAATAAAAATATCTAACAAAAAAATATATTATTCTAGTTGCTGATATAGATACTCTGCTCGGCGTTATCAATTCTGAAAGAAAGTACGTATACTAAAATATTTGATTCATCTCTTACTTTTTAAAAACCAAAATGAATTGGCGCTCGTTTTTTGTAACAGCAATTGTTTTATTCCTCCATTGAAATCTTTGAAACTTTCAACATTTGTGAAAACATTTTGTGATCTGGAATCATCAACCATATTCCCATAAACAGTTCTTTACTATCGAAAGCAAAATTTATTTATTGAAGCTAACATTTCTATTTTTTTTATAAATCAGGTAAATCTCGATTATCATCATACATCTTCAATGTTCTTGTATTATTCTGAATCTTATAACTGGTAATATCTATATGGATATTGTAATTACTGGCAACAAAAAAAAGCATCACATCGACAAATAAAGACCAAAACATTATTTTCGCATATTTAATATGACTAATTTTATTGCAAAAAAATCTATTCCTTATTTTTAATTCATGGTCAATATTTTTATCATGTTCTACAAAGCTACAAAATAAATGAATGAGACGGCAAAATGGAATCGATATTGTTCAAACCAGAACTCGCATTGGCGTATAATCAAAATTAACAAACAAAATGAGAAAGGGATGTAGAAAGAAACAAATGTAACGCAATTTTCTGCTTCAGCTCATTGGGTAGTTAATAGTAATATGGAAAAGTCGTCATTTCAGAATTAAAAATTGGCCTCGGCTTTTCCGACGAATGGGCTCATTAATCTTACAATACGGTAATGAGAATGCATGATTTGTATCTTCATGTTACTTTTTCATTATATATAGAAAGTTCGCCTTATGCAGTCTATAGACCAACGGATTAACAATTGACCTGCGATTTGAGATAAATTCCTATCCTGCTTGATTGCCTGAACGAGAAGACGTGAAAGTGAGAGTATTAGAGTATCTTCTCAGTTGCGCAACCCACAAGCAAAAACTTTTACAAAATGCGACACGAATTTGAAAACGTGAAATTTTGAAGCTGTCACGGCCAAATGAAAGATTGGTCGCCCAATAAAACTCTGATGCTTGAGTAGTAAAATTTAGACTATATTTCGATTATAGGACTGTTCAAACCAAATCCTAAAAATTGGTCAAGTCAAGTTTATTGCAGTAAAAAATTAATCGAACACAAATCACGAGAAAATGCTAATTACACAGATTTACTGGGGAATGGAAGTCGCAGGGAACCAAAGCTGACTATCGTACAGCAACACCCAACGTTCAAATATGTAATTGAAAAAATAGAAATTTTGAGAAATTTTAATCTACTGTCTTTGACGGTGAGTACCGTACGAGTTATCCAACTAACATCGCTTACTAAAGGTGCTTGATGACTAGAGATTGCAAAGAGCCAAAAGATCAACTGCTGGACGGGGAGTTTCCTAATTCAAATGAATTAATTGAAGTGCTCTTCCGAAAATTAGTACGGATAATTTTGACTGATAATTCAGGTACATTGATTTAAATTAGCCCAACAGTGTTGCAATATTTCAACATTACCATCAAACAACAACGGTAATATATACTCAGTTGGTATTGTTATGTTTTCCTTTTAGAAATTTTCTGTTTGTTTACATTGACACGAACATTCATTGTCAATGCAAGTGAGGAATAGCTATACTAACTTATATTGCTCGTATGTTCTCAGTAAATTCACAACTTTGAACCAATTATAATTTTCACGTTAATTGAAAATTAGTGGTAAAACGTTCAGCAATGTTCTACGAGAAACGAAATCGATTATTTAATAAATATACAGGTGTTATAAATATACAGATGGATGTAGGATTGAATTTTAGGCAATTCATGCATTTGAACGTAATTTAATACAAATCCCTTTCTGTATGTGCCACGCTCACTATAAAGTGTGTATATATAACTATACCCATCTTTATTTAAACCATTATCCATGCTCAAATAACATCATACTTGTCTTCCAAGTTCCTGCAAATTTAGCATTCACATTATGTAACGTCTTTCGGGGTATTTTAACAATGATGCACACTCGTAGGATAAAATGAAAACACTTTTGAGCAGATAAAATAATAAAATGGTACTACTGAAGTATGCGTACCGAGATGGCGGACACGCGAACGTAGTATATGTTATGTACCAGGTTAGAGATATGCCATAATTTTATTCCAATTTTTCTATTTTAGTTTTATTACGAGTTTGGGGACTAGATGAGTGACTCCCGTAGTATTTGTACTTGAAATTATGACCTAACCTGGTACACATACTACGTTCCGGTGTCCGCCATCTTGGTACGCATACTTCAGGAGCGCAAATAAAATACCCCATTGTCTGATTAAAGAGTTAGAGTGCGACATGTAGTTTAGGGGCATATAATAATCTTACTCCAGCAACTATGATCCATACATGTTTCATTTCATTAAGCCTCGTCCACATTCATAGTCTACCGATACGTAATATTGACTATCGAAACTTTCATATTGACAAATTGAAAAGAAGAAAATAACACCAACATTAAACAATCAAGCGTAGTGAAGAGAGTACAGTGGAACATAAGCAAATTGCAAATTAAAAATTATGAGTTAACTATATTCGACATAGTGCCGTAGAAGTCGGATGCCTTGCAACCTCGGATGAAATTTTCAATCGTTTATATTTTCGCTATTTTTTAATTTTACGACTATTGCGTATTCTGGCAGTTTCTGTATTGGAATGCGGCCCAAATCGTGACATCTATCGACGTATTTTTGTCAACCTTGTTACGTCATTGTTGACTTATTGCGGATTGGTCATTGTTACGAAAATAAAAAAGATAAGCAATGCTTAGAAATCATTTCCTACCGTCATTCGATAGTGGGCATTATTAATGTTTGAAAAAAAGAATATTGATCACGAGATGTCGCAAAAGTTTCGAGAAAAATTGAAAATTCAAATAGTGTATATAAATAAATATTATCAAAATAATAGCATTTTAAGCACACGTTAAAATTGACGTCACCTGACTTCGAAGACTATTCGCTCACTTCGAAGTCGACGCCAGGTTGCGTCGTCGTTACAGATTTGTAAACAGACATTGGGGCGCTGACGGCGTAGTGTAGACTGTAGGCTTGGCAATAGCAAATAAATTCTCATGATATTTTGTTTGATAGAATCGAAAAATTGGTTGAATATATACAGGAACAGTTTTTCTGCAGATCTTAAATGCAGGGCCGTCGAATGTCATTAAAACAAATATATTTAAAATCAGATACAGTGAAATGTCATTATAGAATTCAAAGCAAATGTTTGCTGGGAAGTTTCAAACAGTGTTGGTGAGCACAAATTGGTAAAATACTTCAATTCCTGACATAATCCTTAAAAAAAAAAAATGCAGTCTTTTAATATATAAGAAAATTTGAACAAATAGCGTGTTCATTGATCGTGTGTGAATATTTGAATATAAGTTTTAAAACTTGGTGTCAAGCATCATTGGTCATTGGCTGTAATATCGTTTGGTGGCGTTTTTTCGAAAATATATTGTTAGAAAACATTGATCTGGGATTACAACATTTGAAATCAACACTATCAGCTGTTTGGTCCAAGACGTGTGAAGAAGATAAAATCATATTGCCCGTATCATACATAATTATATCTATAATATCTTTTTTAATATATCGATTCCGATTTACTCATTTTTCTCCAGCGCCAATGATCTCTCTTTTACACTAGTTTACACTACAGTACACGCGCATACGTTTTACTTCTTACAAAATGTAATTGCACAATTCAAAACTTGATTTTATTATACATGACTTCAGTACACATTCACATAACACATTTTACAGAATTTTGAAAATTATCAAAGTTCAAACCAATAACTCCAAAGATGCGAGTATTTGATGAAACGATGGCTTGTGCAAGTTATCGACGACAACTAGAATTAAAGGCAAAACAACTTGTCATCTTATCGATTTTTTTGTAACTTTGTAGAACTTGACAAAAATACTGACTATAAATCAAAAATAAGGAGAATATTATTAAGTATGCGAGAATATTTTTTGTATTTAGTATTTGATGCCAGTAATTACAATATTCACAGACACTACCAGTTATAAGATTCAGAATATTACAAGAACATTGAAGATGTATGATGATAATCGAGGTTTACCTAAATTATAAAAAAAAATAGTTATATTAGCTTCAATAAACAAATATTGCACTGTGTAGTAAAAAACTGTTTATTGAAATGTGGATGATGATTCCAGATCACAAAATGTATTCACAAATGTTGAAAATTTCAAAAATATCGATGAATGAATAAAAATCAATTAATGTTACAAAAAAGAACGCTAAGGCATTTTTGAATATTCTAATGTGAGAGAATAATTAGAAGTTTTGATATACGTACTTTCCTTCAGAATTGACAAAGCTGAGCAGTGTATCTATATCAGAAACTAAAATAAAATGTTTTTTTGCTAAGTATCTTAATTAGAATCAATACTTGGTTTTATAAGAAAATCGTTATCACCTATTATCAGTATCAGTAAGCAGTGAGCTTATCACAATTAGTGATGTTAATTCAGAATCCTGGTAGAACATGAATGATGCATATTTAGAATAAACTAATTGTTCGTATGAATGTGAAGTTTTTAGACGATGACGTATTTGAATTTTTAATATTTTTAACTTGAACATAAACAACTAAACCTAAATAGAATCAAAATTACGTACATCCCAGGGGAATGTGAGGTGGCCCCCGTATGGTTCTCGCAGTCACTTCCGAAAGAAGAGAATTGTAAGGAACATCAATGCAACCACAAAATGAAGAAATACACTTATATTCGCCATTGTCAAAATATAATTGAATGCAGATAGAGATTTCCTGAGAAAAAATAATGAGGTTTAATTAAAGAAACAAATCATCCTAGTGTCTGTTCACATCTGATTACAATTTTTTTTAGTTGTGGCTACTGAAGTGAAAAGTTAATAGGTATTACTGAAAAGAGCCAAAAGCTGCTATTTCGATCAGAAATAAGGCGGCGCCATGGATATCGATCAATGGGAGACTTATTGATTGAATATTAAATTATTATACTCAACAACATGAGCTCGACATATTCTTGGTATAATAATTTTAGCACAAATAAGCGTAATATTTACGATTTCATGTGCATAATTAGCTGCTTAAATCATGGGATCACACGACCAAATACAGTAAAACTTTGTGTCAATCGTTTGGTTATTTTAAGTTTTGAGCAGATGGATGAGTATCCATCGGAAACAATACATTTAACATTTTTTACACTCCTTCATCTAATAATTTCTCATATATAATATATCTTATGCCAAGATCTGAAAAAAAAGAAACAGCTTATTTCAAATCTCACCAACAATTCATTTATTGTTGTTATTTGCGAAGACCCAAAGCTCCTGACGAGACGCTTTCTCTAGAATGATGAAAATCTTCAACATGCTCCTGTATTATACAGCATTACTACATTCAGATCAAACCCTTGAATGCGGTGAAAATAACCTTATATCGGCATTTTCCAGTAACTCTTATATACAACACTGAAAATGGATCAGAATCTATGTCGTATTTCCAGTTAAATACTCTAATTTTCCTTGATATCTTGAAAGGCAATCTGTCTGGAATTGTTTCCTTCTTCATCACGCTTTTTGTCTGGATCTTAGTATTGTTTTTGTTTTTTTCTTTTCTACATGTCAAAGTCTTGTCAGTCAATATTACGTATGGGGAATCTATGAATGTAGAAAAATCTAAAATGAAATAATTTATTGATCATGTACGCTGGGGTAAGAATATATGACCTTGAACTTTATGCCGCACTTTGAAAACTTTGAGGTATTGATGTTGAGGTATTTTTAATTTTATGGCACCTAATCTAAATTTTAGAACTTGGAGGACAAGTATGGTTGATTATATTTATAGGTATTTTGTTATTTGATCCTGGACTATGGATAATACGGTTAAGTGGTATATTTGTATAAACCAATCTTATATATTTGATACCATCACGTGTTTTTCTTTACGTTTTTTAAGCCTTGACAAAACCAGTGCAGTCGTTGTTGTAATTAATACATCGATTCGCGATTTTGAATGCTATTCGTTTTTGGTTGTGTTTTCGGAAATTTAAGTATGAATCGAATAAGTCAATCATCATTTTGCCTACCTAGGATTTGTAGTTTAATTGCAGTAATCGAAAATTAGTCTAGAAATAGCTGTGGTAAAATAGGCTAAAATTCTCTACCGGTACGCAACGTTCTGCAAAGGATGCAATCGTACACTTGTAGCACGTGCTTTCGGCGAAACTGTGTACGTTTCTTGTGCTAAAGTGAACGTCGAACGTGCATTTTGCGCTAATAGTGCTGTAATCTAGAGATGTACCAATACCACTTTTGTCGCCGATACCGACCGATACTATAAAAAGGCCGATATTACCGATATTCCAATACCGATACTATGTAATTATTACTTAATTAGGTGTGCTGTGTAGGGCAGACGGGTTAAAACAATGGTATTTGAGTATAATACACATTATTTCATATCGGAAAAAAAGATATATCACATAATATAAAATTAATGTTTGGTATCCATATGCTTTAACTGATTAAGATACATTGTACAGTAACGTTAGTAATCTCGGTGTTCAATTGAAACTCATAAGCCGGGATGTCCAATTTGAATTTAATGTTAATATCGCGACCTTCGAATATCGTTATTCGTGTTTAAAAGAATATCGAATATCACCCACACATTCTAGTGCCGCCTTCCTACGTTCAAATTAAAAGCATTTTACAAATATTTATTTCGTGGCTAATCGGAATCGCCGACGCAATAAGTCAAAGCCAACATGAAAGAATATCAATCAGCACCGACCAAAAGAAGACCTACCTATAACTAGAGATGTACCGATACCACTTTTGTCGCCGATACCGATACCGATCCGATACCATCTGAAAAAGACGATACCGATACGCCGATATCCGAAAACGACCGATATTGCCGATATTCCGATACCGATACTATATAATTATTACCTTAAAAACTTTAATATAAAAATTCGGCAGCGAGAATACTCAAATTGATTGACCTAGTTTGACTGATAAATGGCTTAAAACAGGTGAGCGGGTGTGGGAACGTGCAGTGGCTCATAGATCACGATCTATCCAAACAAAAAATAATTTCAAGATTAGTATTCTAACCTATTTTTTAAAACATTTTGAATCATATTGAGAAGCTGAATATATCGGAAATATCGGTCTAAACTTAGCCGATACCGGAAAATTGGCCGATATTGCCGATACCGATACCCGATACATCGGTACATCTCTACCTATAACCGTCGAGGATGTTTTTTTACTTTACTATTTTATATTATTATACAATTGCTAACATATATTTTGAGACAGTCTAGGGCAAGGCGGTCATGTCAATTTATCATAAAGAAATTGTGTAGTTGAACAAAATTAAACTTAATACCTGCGTAGAGAGATAATTGTGTCACAATTTAGTTTATCGATGTCGACGGACTAAAAGACACTCGTACTTGACGACAAACCGTGCCAAAAGTCCATGTGCCTAATTGCTTTTTGTTATGTGCCGTGTTGATATATTTCCTCATAATTACTATGTAATATTAAAAATGTCAATATAAAAATTTGACAGCGAAAATAGCTAAAAACACGTGAATCATATTCTCTCGCGGGGTTAGGGACATGTATGGCTCATAGCTCACGATCTCTCCAGACAAAACTAAATTAAAAAAATAGTATTCTAACTTATCTTTTAAAACATTCTGAACCATATCAAAAAGGTAAATATATCGGAAATATCGGCCTTGATCTAACCGATACAGAAAAATGGCCGATGTTGCCGATACCCGATACATCTCTAAAGTAATCTTCCGCGTAGTGCTCCTTTTTCACGAGTCACATTAACTTTTGTACTGCTTACATGCATCCGATATTCATGACAGCAATGTTTTTCTAACAGCTAATCTCAGGATAGTTGTCCAGAAATCTTGTATATTTGATTTGCTATGATGTTCCCGATCTATATTCTGCGATATAGAATTTAATGTTCAAGACATCAGAAATGTAGGATTTATATTGTTGAATACCTTGAATGGATTTCCCAAACTTTGTGAATTTTTGGTATATATTGCATTGACAAATATATTTGCCCGGCCCGTTTTCAACACAGTTTGAGTCATACCTGGCCCGCGGTCAAAAAGGTTTGGTGACTCTTGCTATAAGAGTTAAGTTTTGCAATGCCTCGAGATCAGTGGTTCCCAAACTGTGGTCGGGTGAAGATTTCCGGGGTCGCCTAATTTGTGTCAAATATACGCACACAAGTGAAGAATATAGGCTTTGAATGGTCGGCTCGCGGCAGGTATCGTAAAAAATCCAATGGGTTTACCAGCATTAACTTGACCATTCATTGTCCAATCGGCGCCAAAATTGCTTAGTAAAACTTTCATGTAGTACCGGTACGTAACCTCTCTAGCTGGTCTGCAGGTACCGGTATTAGTTAATGTAATTAAATGACAGTGTTACGAGCGCCAAAAATATTTTCCTTTTTATAGCTTTTTCGATCATGTTACATCCGAATGAGTAGTTGACCCTCTGGTACACGAATTGGATTTTTGACAGGCTGCGATAAATTATAACGGCTTGTTATTTTGTACCAGTGTAGCCGCTTGGTTATCGAATATACGAAGCAAAGATGCTTTATTTGGCGATTGGCCTTTAATTAGATGTTTGACAAGTATGCTATTGATTGCCAGACTGTGTCTTGGCCGGGTAATTACACTTTAGGTTCGATCAGTTGCGAAAGCTCTTTGTTAATTCGCGCACCTGTCTAAAATCTACGAGTAGGATGAAAGTGAATGTTTGTATTGCAATATCACGTATTTAGACGTTTTATACATAATTTCAAAGCGTTCCGAGCAGTCAAACACAAAATCACAATTTTTTATCATAATAAAAGGCACTCAAAAAATGTGATTCGTAGACGTTTTTTCCTACTTTACTTTCAAATAAAAAATGGAGCAATCTGTAATATAGAATTAAAATAATGAAGACACCACTGTTGGTATATACTAAATAATATTTTAACTTTATGTATATTTAGAAGCAATCTCACTATTTCCGAAGTATCGTACGCTTTCTTACAATCTACAACATTTTATTAATGCTTTTATGTATTGCCGGACTCGTTCAATATTTATTTGGCTAAAGTTCACCGTAAACGTCCACTTGCAGTCGATATACAGGTACATTGTTCTCATTGAGGTAATTAAACTGATATATTGTACTGATTTTTGAATTTGCTTAACGTTTCTAGTTGTGGGGTCGCGAGTAAATGTAGGTGTGATTTTATGAAAGTTGGGGTCGCGAAAAAAAAAGTTAGGGAACCATCGCCCCCGGTGGGCGAAAACGATACAGAGGGGGCGAAACAGTTGAAGGGGGCGATAGGGGGGCGATTTTTCGAAACCTGTTTTGGTTCGGCGCATCGTGCACTTGAAAACTGTACTCTGCGTGCTTTCGTAGGTTTTAATCACGTTGGCGATTATCACACGCGAAATGATTGCTGGACTCGTCTCCGTCGTAAGGTACGATAGTTTGCGTATCCCAGTGGTCGGCAAAATACGGCCGGAGTAAAATAATCTGGCCCGGGACGCTTATCTGAATGGACCTTTTTCCGACCTTTGACCCCGAAAAATTCTTTCTGTATTTTTTACCATTTAAAAATTTTTGATGATTATTTTAAGAGTGGTTTTTCCTGTAAAATTGATATTTGTTTCAAACTATCATTCTAATGCATACCATTCAACAATCTGTTTTCTAAAAGTCTATCAAAGCTATTTTTACACTAATTTTTGATTACTGCAACCAATGACATATAACAACATGATGCGCAACTCCGGCATTTTTGTCCGAAGATCGTATTCGATAGCACGCTCCAATGCACATACTTGACGAGACGAAAACGAGCGGATGTGTGCTGCTTTCAAGGCGTAGCACGAATGGTGTTCGTGCCTGCTTTGACAGTTGTTGTCGATTTTAATGATATTTTTGAAAGTTGGGGTAAAAAGAAATCGGTAAAAGGTAAGGTGAATACTATTGTTGTATATCACACCCGGGCATCGCACTGTTAAGTACATGTGGGAAAGCCAGCCTTTGTCAAATACTACGAAGTTATTAATTCAGTACGGTACGTAGTTGCCCATTTGCCGAAATTACATATTTACTTACTCCTTATGGTTTCAAATAGTTCATGCACCTCCAGTTAGATTTTTTTAATCAGTGAGGATATATACTCATTGTTGATTGCTGCTCATTGTAACATACTATTACGCATTCACTTTTATTTGCGTATTGAATCAAAGTGTTAACAAGTTCACCTAACATTTCACTCATACCGGTCTATATTGTATAGTCTGATTTCTCAAGTATTTGGAGCCACGAATGCTTGTAATTTTCTGACTAAACCCTTTTATTAGTTGGTTTATTTTCCAAAATTCAGTAAAATATTTTTTAAATAAAACATGAGATATTGGATTTATTAGCTTTTCCATTCTGAATCATATAGACTGCTTTATTTATTCTTAACGAAAATTAATAAATCTCCTCTCTTTCTTCAGATGTGAAAGTTGTGGACAAACCTGTCTAAGCATTGTGAGACTCTTGCAGCACAAGAGGCAATAGTAGAAATAGTAAGTATATCAATCAAGAAATTAAGCCGACATAAAGCAAAACTTTCAACTATTCGTCTAATCTCAATTCCCTATTATTTATTCACAGGACAACTATAGCAGACGGGGAGATATCAAGAAGTCTGGCGAGATATCAGTGACAGTGTGATTCCAAGAAATATAATGCAATTGAAAATAGAAAATTGCAATAGAAAAACAACCTATGGAGGCATGCAAAGACATTTGACCCTCCGGTAGAGTTGTGTATGGCCCCCACATCTTGCAGGGCTTGAGGAAAATAAACTAAAAATTCCAAAAGCGTAAGATTGCATAAGCGGTCTTATTTGTAAAAAGGCACAAAACACGCCAGACATACTTAAAACAGCTTGGAAATGAGGATTACGGGTACCTCACTGCACCTGTGTTATATTTGGTTCAATCAACTTTTGGTAGTACTATAGAAGAAATTCCGGAAGGGGTATAATCATCATTCATGATAAAATACTATCATATATTTTTTGAACAACTTCAATCTAGACCAGGGATCTCAAACTCGCGGCCCCAGAGAACTTCCAGTGCGGCCCTCGAACGCCTAACAATAATTTTAATAGTATTCTGGAAGTTTTATTTTTATCTAAATGTAATAGATTTTTCAAACCTTCTAAAGTGAAATTGATTGTTCACACAGAAACAATTTACTGAAAGTAGTTTTGGAATATTAATTTTTTTGTCCACATTTTGACCCAATTAAGAATACACATCAAGCTAGCAAAAGAATACTTGAATAAAACACTTGAGTAATTAAATTAAACGCAAAGTACACGAAGAAGGTGGCATTTTCGAAGAAAATGGGAGTTGTAACATTTCTGCTCTTCACAAAATTCTGAAGCACATTGTTTAATTTGTCATATTTCCATCAATACAATCAAATAACACAATAAGCTCAGCAGTCAATATGACAAATTCGAAGACCAACTTCGAACAGAAAATTTCCATGTGTTTGTATATTAATATAATTATACAACGACTTAGTTACTAAAAATCAATATCAATGTAAGTTCGAAAATTGGCATTATCTTCTATCAATGGGGATTTCCCTAAAGTGAAACGACAAATGGAAAATTCCAGCTGTCCACATATGTTGCAATCGACTCTCGCTGGACAAGTCTAATCTTGCCTCGCTCTCACGTGACTCGCTGCCGTGTTTGACGGCAGTCGTTGCTTAATATTCGCATAGATTGCTTTTTATGTGTTAAATTAGTTACGTTTAACGTCCGGTTGTAGGGATAATAATTGCCCATACCCAAGGCTTATGTTATTGGAACATATAACTGCTGTAACTTTTATTGTAGAATATTATATAAGTTATAAATAGACTGTAATTTGATTGATTGATTCTCTGAATCCTGAACTGAAATTGAAGTTATTTCTGAATATTTGTTATCGCCTGGCTTAAAACGTTTCGGTAAGTTTTAGTATTTGTTGTTTATGATAAGAATTCTTGTTATTAGTTCAAATAATATTCCAAATAATAATAATTAATTGGTATTTAATAGTATAATAGTATTTCATGTTAATTAAATACTGTCAGTAGAGCTAGACAATGTCACATTGTTTAATGATTAAGTTTGCAAGTGCTTTAATGCATTATTGTTATTTTCTTGTGGTCTGTATTTGAATATTTTCATTTAAATTCAGAAAACCGCTACGCTACACTATCACCATACACATTGCATCATTCTGTTTTATTAGTACGCTACACCTCTCTTAACCTCATTCAACATTGTGAACTGTTTTACTGGATTTAATTCATATATCAAATTTCATTGTACAGACATTTGATATTTGTGGCATTGGAGGACACACCGAGAGTTGCGCGTTTTCGAATAGTTTTTCAAGAACCAAGAACAGCCAGATATTTCAGTCACCCCCTTATGCGACACCTGTATTGGCCAGGATACATAGAAAAGGTGTTACATAATAAGTTTTCGAAACGAAATCATGAACTTGAGTTCGAGTGATGAAGATTACTCACCCAGAAAACTGGCTTTGAGGCAACTGGCTAACTATACACAGCCGCTTGTCAGAAGATGCCATCACTGGCTGATGTCAAAAAACAACGTACAACATTAGAACATTTATATTTCATGGCTGAAAAGCAATTGCTGATCAGGATTTGCATGTGCTAATTCTGTTATGTCAAGTATTGATGATCCTTTTGCCAAACTTGGTGGAAATGTACTCTGAGAGTATATCAGCTGCACCCAATGATGAAATAAGATTGAAATTCGAAAATGAACTTTGGAATGTGAATAAAGACATTGACAACCTTTTTGCTCGAGTACGTGAATTCACACATTTACAAAACCCCAAAACGTGGAGTTCAAATCAATGCAAAGATTCTGAACTTCCCGATTCCAGAAGAGAAAGAGCGGAAAGTGAAGTCGTGTCCTTGTCTGGTAGCATACGAAGTAATCGCTCTTATGCGAGTAGCAAGACATCAATATGCAGCAAAAGGGTCTGTACATATGGCCAAGGCAACAAGTTAAGCGTGAAGAGAGCTCGAATTGCATTGCAAAGAACAGAAGCAAAGCAGAGAATTGAAGATGAAAAACGCAAAAATTGAACATGAAAATCAAATATTGGAAGCAAAATTTGATTTGCAAGAAGCAGAAGCAGAGGCTGCTGTTTGGGAGAATTTGTCTGTGGTTGATGATGCTGGAAGTTCTCGGTCTTCATCAGATATATTCATCAGATCTGGTGTTCAAAAGGAAGCTACAGCTGTAGTAACTTCGCGGACTGTAGAACACGAACAACAACCTGAGAGAAACGTTACTAATCAACAGGTGGTAAGTCAATCATCTCCTATCGCTACAACTAAACCTGCTGTTTCACCTAAACAAGATGTGGTGTCTTCAAGCAATGATGACAGCGTGAATTCTGGATTTTCCCAACAGTCCGCTGATTTTGCACTGAACACAGATTCAAATAATGAACATAATATATCTAAACCTTTGGTCACTGACACTGATAAATTTGCTCAGAGTATAGCCAGAGCTTTTGGTGAAGCCATGCATGCTCCAAAGTTGGAATATTTGACATTTTCTGGTAATCCTATTGACTACTATATTTTCAAGAAAATTTTGAAACTAATATTGATGCTAAAGCACCCACAGATGCCTTGAAATTAGCTTTCTTACTGCATCAATGCAAAGGAAAAGCGAAATCGCTCATACAACACTGTTCTATATTTGAACCAGAAGTGGGTTATGCCAAGGCTAAAGATATTCTTCATAAGAAATTTGGAGATTCAGATGTTGTAACTGAAGCTTTTAAAGAACAGTTGCATCGTTGTTCGAATATAAAACCAGATGATCATGCCAGCACTGCAAGACTATGCTCTTTTAATGAGAAAATGTGTTCTTGTGCTCGGTAAGCTTGATAGCCTTGGAGAAATGAATACATCTGATCGTATTATCGATTTTGCCAGTAAGCTACCATACAGCTCACAGAAAGGATGGGAAAGGAAAGCTGTGAAGATCAAAAATAATACTGGTAAAAAGGCTCAGATATGGGACTTGGCTGATTTCATTGAAGAGGAAGCTGATATTGCAGGTTCAAATACTGCGAAATCATTGAACATCAGAAGACGTGAAGATAAGCCACAACAAAAACGGCAATCAACACGAAAGTCTACAACTTATACTGTGAAAACTGAGGATGTCAAAGCAACTTCTCATGTCCAGGGTCCTGCTATTTTAAAATGTAAGTGTTGTTCCTTTTCCCACCTTTTGTCAAAATGTGAAAAGTTTAATTCTAAATCGATTGAAGAACGAGTAAAATTCCTGAAAGAAATTGGTTTCTGCTTCAATTGTCTACGTGGAGGTCACTTGGTAAAGGACTGCAAGTCACAATATACATGCTCTGTTAAAGGGTGTGGACGAAGACATCATACTTTGTTGCATTTAATACAAAGAAATTAGAAAATGAAGAAAATGCAAACTTCAAAAAGAATGATGACAAACAAAGCTCAATTCAGAAGAATGTGACTACTGCAGTTCAAGCTAATTCAAATGCATGCAAGAGCTCCATGTATACTTACAGAAATATTTTGCCTGTCAGGATTCGAGCAAATAACGTTGAAGTGGAAACATATGCTCTGGTCGATATTGGGTCCGACACAACTTTTTGTGAAACAAGCTTAATTGAAGAACTTGGTTTGACTGGAAAACAAAGAACTGTTGAAATCAACACATTAGGACAACGACCAGTCATGCATGATGGTGTTGTTGTAAATCTCACTGTTGCATCAATTGACGATGCAGAAGAAATATTCATTGAAAATGTGATGTCTATTGACAAGATTCCAGTTCAACCAAATCCTATTCCATCTGAAGAAGAACTCAAGCTACTTCCTCATCTGCAAGAACTTAATCTACGTAAAATTAAAAATAAAAATGTTTCTCTGCTTATTGGAACTGATTGTCCATATGCACATCATGTGTTGGAAGTTCGAACTGGAAACAAGAAGCAGCCATTTGCACAAAAGTCTCCATTGGGATGGTCGATTATTGGACCATCAGTGAATATGCCATCAACGCACAAGATTCATGTCAACTTTGTGAAGTCTGATATGTTACTCGAAGAAGAGATAAGAAGAACATGGTACACTGATTTTGAAGATGAGATTGGAGATTTGACATTTCCAACCTCGAAAGAAGATAGACATGTTCTAAATTTTCTGAAGAGCTCTGTAGAGCATTTCGATGGTCATTTCACAATACCTTTACCTTGGCGTCCTGGGACACAGCTGCCGAGGCGGAAGTCGTGCATTGGCTGAACGCAGATTGGAGTATCTCCATAAACGTTTGTCTAAAAATGATGATTTGAGAGAGAAATACACAGAAAAAATGCAGGAATATATTACAAAAGGTTTTGCGAAAAAGCTTTCGCAAGAAGAAGATATCCCTGCAGGTCCTGTTTGGTATTTGTGCCACCACCCGGTGTGTACCGCAAACAAACCGAAAGTGCGTATCGTATTTGATTGTGCTGCAATTTATAAAGGTGTTTCTCTTAATGACACTCTCATGCCTGGACCAGACTTGGTGTCAAGCCTTATTGGTGTGTTGACTCAATTTCGTAAGGGACGCATAGCTTTAGTTGCTGATATTGAAGCTATGTTTCATCAAATTAAAGTTAAGAAAGAAGATTGCAATGCTCTGCGATTTCTTTGGTGGCCAAATGGTGATTTTTAAAGAAGGCAGAATTATATTTCATGGAACGTCATATATTTGGAGCTTGCAGTTCACCTTGCATTGGCTTCATTCTGCTTGAAGGAAACCGGAAAACGATTTGGTCATGAATTTGATAAAAGAATTTGTAAGATTATTGAAAATGGATTTTATGTAGATGACTGTCTTACATCTTCTGATAGTGATGAAGATGCAATAAACACAAAAAACACAACTTTGTAATTTGATGAAGAAGGGAGGTTTTCAATCTAACGAAGTGGATTTCAAATAGTTCCACTGTGATTGGCCAATATCCCAGAATCTGAACATACCAAATCTGTGAAAGAGTTGGATTTGCATGAACCTCGAAAGAGCGTGTTCTTGGAGTTTTCTGGAATGTAGATGCCGATGCTTTTCAATTTCGTTCAACTGTACCTAAGTTGAAGACATATACAAGAAGGACAATTTTATCTGCAGTTAATTCACTATTTGATCCCCTGGGAATGCTCGCTCCCGTGATTCTGGTAGCAAAAATGTTGCAACAAGAAATCATCGAAAAAGGTTTCGGCTGGGATGAAGTAATTACAGAAGACAATATTAAAGACTGGGACACTTGGTTCAAACAGCTCACTGATCTTGAATATATTTCGATTCCAAGATGTTTCAAGCCACAAGAATTTGGAAATATCAAACATTGTGAGATACACCATTTTTCAGATGCTTCTAGCTTCGGTTATGGTGTAGTTTCGTATTTGAGGCTGGTCGATGAAAATAATCAAATACACTGCTCATTTTTATGTGGTAAAGCAAAGGTGGCTCCTCCGAGGGCTGAAAGCATTCCTAGACTTGAACTTGTTGCTGCTGTGCTAGCTGTAAAGGCAGATAAGTGGCTACGATTAAAGTTGAATTATTCCGATTGTGAGTCCGTATTTTGGACTGATTCGAGTGCAGTGCGTCAAAGCATATGTAATCCAAGAAAACGTTTTCGTACCTTCGTTGCAAATAGATTGGCCAAGATTCATCGACAGTCAAAGCCGTCTCAATGGCGACAAGTGCCTTCAAAAATCAATCCGGCTGATGACGCATCACGAGGCTTATCATTGAAAACTCTCATCAATAAAAGTCGTTTGGCTGCTTGCACCTGAATTTTTTATGGAAGACCGAAGATAGTTGGCCAGGAAATTCGGAAGATAAAACGGACCTGCCTGATGAATTTCAGCCAATTGAAAGAAAGAAGTGGCAACAATTATTGCTTTCGGATATTGACACAATTGACAACTTCATTAAAAGCTTTTCTGATTTACAAAGGCTCAAGATTGCCACTGCATGGGTGTTACGCTATAAAAGTTTCCTTCGTAACCACAATTCTGTTACCACAAGAAATATAACTGTGGAAGAAATGCAATACGCAGAGCAAGCACTTGTGAAATATGTTCAGCAGCAGAATTACAAATCTGTCATTGATAATTTATCAGACAAAAGTGAAATTGGTGACAGGAAGGCTCGTCACGAGATGAAGAAAGCTGAGCATACAAAGTCAATTGCAAAACTAGATCCAATTATAACTGATGGAATTCTACGGATTGGGGGGAGGTTGGATAAAGCTCCTATTTCATTCGAAATGCGACATCCCATCATTTTACCAAATGATCACCACTTAACCAGATTAATCATTGACTTCTATCACAAGAAAGTTGGACATTCAAGTGTTTCTCATACTTGGAATGTTATTCGTGAAAAATACTGGATCACAAAGACGAGAGCAACAATTCGGCATGAATTAAATAAATGTGTGACCTGCAAAAAGCTAACCACGACAAGGAGAACAGTTAATGGCTGAACTGCCATCTGCTCGTCTAAAGGTTGGTCAACCACCATTCTATTCAACAGGAATCGACTTCTTCGGCCCATATTTGATCAAACGTGGAGAAGTGAAATCAAAAGATATGGCTGCATATTTACATGCCTCACAACAAGAGCTGTACATATTGACTGGCAGAAGATTTAATCCACTGATGCTTTCATAAATGCTCTTAGGAGGTTTATGGCAAGAAGATCAAAACCTTTTGAATTGCACAGTGACAATGGAACTAATTTTGTTGGAGCAGAACGAAATATTACGAGAAGAAAATGCATGAGCTCGATCATACCAAATTAGATGGATTCTTTCAAAAAACAAGAAATCCGCTGGTATTTCAATACTCCAACAGCCAGCAACCAAGGAGGTTCCTGGGAAATTTTAATTCGATCAATAAGAAGAATTTGAACAAGATATTTTTACAAAATCTCCTGTTGTATCTCAAGATGTTCTGCATACTGCACTCCTGGAGGCAGAATACATAATCAATTCAAGACCTTTGTGTCCAGTTTCTTTGATCCAGAGATAATGCACCATTATCTCCAAATCATCTACTTCTGCAAAAAACCAACACCATGTATTTCACCTGGATTATTCAATAATCAAGATTCCTATAGTCGTCTACAGTGGCGTCGAGTTCAACTTCTGCTGACGAGTTCTGGAGGAGATTCTGCAAAGAATATTTGCCAACCATAGCTATTCGTCAAAAATGGCCTGACAAGACAAGAAACTTCACTGTTGGGGACATAGTACTTGTGGTAAACAACAGTGTACCAAGAGGCAAATGGGAAATGGGGCGAATTATCAACACATATCCGGATCGATTTGACATAGTTCGTAATGTAGATGTCAAAACTCAATGGGGAGTACTGAGAAGACCAATCAACAAGTTATGTCTCATTCAAGAAGCAAATGTGGAAGAAAAGTAATGAAAGAACTGAACTGTTTAAAACAGCTTTTTATGGACTGTTTATTCAAGATGAGAAATCTTGAAAATATTGCACATGTACATACAAGTTGAGATTTCGTCAATTTTTATTATTTGACCATAATTTCGTTTTCTGCAATTTTGAACTTTTTGTTTTTAAGGGAAATGTATTTATTGTCCCAATGCATACATTTGGGGGAGTTTATGTAAGTTCGAAAATTGGCATTATCTTCTATCAATGGGGATTTCCCTAAAGTGAAACGACAAATGGAAAATTCCAGCTGTCCACATATGTTGCAATCGACTCTCGCTGGACAAGTCTAATCTTGCCTCGCTCTCACGTGACTCGCTGCCGTGTTTACGGCAGTCGTTGCTTAATATTCGCATAGATTGCTTTTTATGTGTTAAATTAGTTACGTTTAACGTCCGGTTGTAGGGATAATAATTGCCCATACCCAAGGCTTATGTTATTGGAACATATAACTGCTGTAACTTTTATTGTAGAATATTATATAAGTTATAAATAGACTGTAATTTGATTGATTGATTCTCTGAATCCTGAACTGAAATTGAAGTTATTTCTGAATATTTGTTATCGCCTGGCTTAAAACGTTTCGGTAAGTTTTAGTATTTGTTGTTTATGATAAGAATTCTTGTTATTAGTTCAAATAATATTCCAAATAATAATAATTAATTGGTATTTAAATAGTATATAGTATTTCATGTTAATTAAATACTGTCAGTAGAGCTAGACAATGTCACATTGTTTAATGATTAAGTTTGCAAGTGCTTTAATGCATTATTGTTATTTTCTGTGGTCTGTATTTGAATATTTTCATTTAAATTCAGAAAACCGCTACGCTACACATCACCATACACATTGCATCATTCTGTTATTAGTACGCTACACCTCTTTAACCTCATTCAACATTGTGAACTGTTTTACTGGATTTAATTCAATATATCAAATTTCATTGTACAACATTTGATATTTGTGGCATTGGAGGACACACCGAGAGTTGCGCGTTTTCGAATAGTTTTTCAAGAACCAAAGAACAGCCAGATATTTCAGTCACCCCCTTATGCGACACCTGTATTGGCCAGGATACATAGAAAAGGTGTTACAATCAATAATAATTCAAGCAATCCTATGCCACGCAAGGTAGTGCGAAATGTCTTGTCGAAAAAATCTGTCATTTGTTTTTTTTACTGATCTATACATGAAATGATAAAAGTAACTTTTTTGCATTACTGGAATTAATTAAACATTCGTAAAGATCCAGATAAACCCATGATCATGTGGCCTCGTTAGTTAGAGTTGGTACTATAAAATCATTTCAGACTGGCCTTAGTATGCTGGTGACACAAAAAAGATGCCAAACGCCAGGACGAATGTAATTATTGAAACATTGAGTTTATACTGTAGTATTTTTGTTAATTTTAGGTTCATATATTTAGATTAAGTTATTTTTAGTGTATGTATTATTTTTTCCTTATTCAAAGCTTGTTCAAAAATGATTTTGATGGTTGTACATAGAATTTTACGATTTTTTATAATAAATACTGTAACTTGCAAATGTTGCAATAATAGTGGAATGCAAATATTAATATGTAATTGCATTTGAAATTGAAGAAAAAAATAAAACTTAATCCAACTGTTTAGTTGCATCACAATATATGAGCTATGTTCTATGAACATTTGTTCTTTTCTTTGTCTTGAACTTTCCATACTCCACAGCCCCTATTAATTTTTTTTAATTTTAATTACCATGTGATGGTCATACATATCTTTAACTTGTATTTTCTGTCATGATGTATTATCTCAATGTGCCAAACTATTAATTTGTGTGCATATTTTGCTTCCAGATGACATAAATGTATTGTCATGTTTATTACCTCAGCTTGGAGTATTGACAAGAAAAAGGTGCCAGTAAATTAGGTAAAAAAATTTTCAACTCATTGTTATAATCAGAATTCACAATCAATAGGAATTATAAACAGCCAACAATCAGTGAGAATTATATGCGAAATCCCTCAGAATAAATTTGTCTAAAATCGGAGGAAGGCAAAAATATAGGTAGTTTCCATTCACACAAGCATTTCAAGAAGACTTGCTCGAGCCAAACTAAATGAGCATCGTCAGGTGATCGGTAAGGCTGCAAGTTGAATTCAGCCCTGCAACCTCCTGCATAGAAGATAATATTAATTAGTGGGCTATGAGCTAAATTCCTAAATTTAAACAAACCTATCTACGATGCATTATGTACCAGCAATGTTACCTACGATTAACTGAATATGTAATATGTCTAATAAATTCACCTACAAAAGCAAGTTCGATAGGTGCAAACTTTGTGTTATGGAATTGTATCGCAGCACAGTTTTGTATGACACCCTCTTTAAATGAAATTTCAATGATTAAGCGCAAACATTAAAATTACTAACTTTGAACTTTGTCATTATCTGCAAAATGTTCCACACAAATCTTTCCGCTATCGCGTTTGTAATCTTCTCTGATAAAAAAAAAACGTCTATGATGTCCAGAATTGCTCTTTACAGCTTGCCTGTTATTCCAGCTTTCCAAGTAAGCAAAACTTCTTGGATATAGAGATTATTTTGTTTCGTTACAGGCGCAAAAAGGCAGGTACTACACGTAAAAAAGACGCCGAGTAGCAAAAGCGAGCGGAAAACGGACGCGAAAGGCGACGAGAAATATGTGCATTGGAGCGTATCATGAAATACAATGTTTTGCCTGTAGTCTTATGGAGTGACGTCAGAGTTGCCTATCATGTTGTTTAATGTCATTGCTGCAACTAAGCTGAAACTCCTAGGAAGACAAAGTGATCATTGAATTATTTGATTTATATTTCCGAACACAACTAAGAACTAACAAATATAATTCAACAACACGAAAATGAGGTAATGGTTACGACCACGCCTAAAACTCTGTTTGCGTGAGAAAAGTGCCCGAGCAGATGCGAAAAGGGGCATTGTTACGTTTATTATTGCATCTTGCTGATTGGCCAATGTCACGAAGTAAACAAGGGAGTCTATGCCCGGGGAAACATCCATTATACAGACAAAACGACGTTTTTGACGATGAGTTAATTTTATTTAATCTACGCTCGAGAAGTAAATTACATTTTTTACGCAACAGAATTTATCGTGAGACACGTTTAGAGTAAATGATATTATATCCTAACAATTTAGCTTCTCGTTTAACGAGCCTACAATTTAATTATAATTAGACAAATGGCAAGACGAAGAAAAGTTGATGCTGAGTGCAGGGTTTCAATATCGCAGTAAATATTCATATATATTGCAATGCAATAAGAAAATAAAATTCATATTCTATTCGAGAGATTCATCACTGCTTGATTTTTGTAGGAATGTGTCTGTTCCAATCTTGCTGTCGTAAAGCTATCAAGCGTGATGCAGCAACAAGACAGTGTCACATTAAATGTCATTGTAATAATTTATTAATAAGAAAACTGAGTTGAGTTCGTGAATTGTTGCAGTTTTCTCGCGCTGTTCCGTTTTTAACTTGCAAAAAATATACCCGACCCGATAGTCGTTCACGGCTTTTTCCACACCCGAGTCCACGAATCTAAAACAAAAGGCTGATTGTGTTATGTACAACCAAACACTCCCAGAGGAACGAAAAGCATAAAATAACAGATACCAGGCAGTAAAATACAAGAAAGACCATATACACAATAAAAACACTGACGAACCCCGAAATCTAAGACAACTCTCAATAAAAGCCAAATGACCCCTAGAATCTGGTACAATAAATTAGCTACTACAATTTGCAAAACAGGCCGAAAATAACTTATGACAGGCATTTTAAAGGACGATAAACAATTTTATATGTGCACAACATTTGAACAGTACCGGTACTGAAAATGGCTAATTCCCTGACAACAACCAAAAATGCAACACTAAATGAACTGCAATTGTACTGCACTCAAACAATAATATCATCCTACTGTGTAGCATGAAAATATCTAACAAATCCCCATCCCGCAGTCACACAACCACAAACAACATCCCTGATAACCCAACGGAGACCAGAATCCAACTGAAAAACACACACGACTGCAACCTGCCCAAAGTGACTATAACACTTATGCATCTTTTCCGTAAAACGTGCAGCTATTGGAAGTGGGACAACAAGACAATATTTGTTACTAAAATTCTAAGGAACATTTTAAAATCATTTTCAGGTAGTTACCTTATGTGCGCTACGAAACTGAAAGATAAACAGCCTCGTCTTGCGGACAATCCTGGCGTGCTCGCCATTTGCACAGTTTAGGTTTTGCTACTGTGTTTAAATAAGTCAGAAGACTAAACATTCCGGATTGGTTGTTTATTGTACGGCAACTCTACACTTATAACAGCAAACACAACTCAAAAGCAGCCGACGACCAGCCTTTCTCGACGAGAAGAGACCGGAAAAATACTATTTTATCTCGCACCTTGTGCGTGCATGGAGTCCAGACCCGACCAAAACTGCCTAAATCAAGGGCCTGGAAAATAGCATTCAGAGAAATATAAAAAGATATTAACACAAACACGGTCATACTCAACTTCGGATGGAATATTCAATTGTTTATTAGTTTATATCTTGATATTCTAATCTAGAGGGTGTTATTAACGTAAGTAAAAAATCATATTGATCGCGAGATGTCGCAAAATATTCGAGAACAATTGAAAATTGAAACCGGAACGTCGATTACTATTTGCTCGCATCGAAGACGTCGCCTTGCGCCGCACATTTAGATTTGAAAATACGGACGAAATTCTAATAATATTTTGTTTGATTGAATTAATATCGGTTAAATATACACACTAACAGTTTTCTCTAAATCTCAAATTAAAAGCGTCCAATGTTGGAAATGTCATTCCAATAAATTTATTACAAATCAGATACAGTAAAGTGTCGTTATAAATTCCAAAGCAAATTTACGCTGAGAAGTTTCATATAGTGTTGAACCAACGCTGCCGGAAGACACAATTTGGTAAAATACTTAAATTCCAGAAATGATCCATATTTCAAATAACTGCAGTCATATGCATGAGAAAATTTGACCGAATAGCCTGCTCATTAATGGCGTGTGATATTTGAATTTTTCAATATTATTCGAAACTTGGTACCGGTATCGTATCAAGCAATATTGGCTGTTAGCGGTAACATCAATTGGTGAATTTTTATCGAAAATTGAAACATATTAGTGACAGCGATTTATAATCAACAATAAATTCTTAAAGGACTCGTTAGGTATCCTGGTATCCAGTTAGCTAGTTCAATCAACAGCACAAATCATATCTGAAAGTTTGAGCGTTGATAATCCATTTTCTTATTGAGTAAATCATTGACAATGCAAATGCAATGAAACAATTTATCAATTTTAAGCTCAGTGAAGAGGGTTCAATATTTTCGTTCCTAGAAACAATAATATTAATGCAAAAAGGCTGAACTGAAAAAAGGCTTTTTTGTCTAAACGACTAAAGAATTGCAAATAAAATTTATAAACAGGTACCGTAGTCAGCTGAAATAATGTGGATTTTATTTGGTTCTACAATTCATAAAATTTTGTGTAATGCAGCCAGCTCTATTTGTATGATAAAACTATTACTGTATTAGAGTGCAGTATATTTTTGAATTCCTCATGTGGTTGGGTTTTCCTTAAATGGAGTCTTAATGTGAAAGTAATTTGTTTTGAGCTCAGCTTTGGTACAAGACAAAACACATTAGATGGAAATTCATAGAAGTGCCGGCAAATAGAATTACAAAACACCTAATTATACATCAATTCCGAAACTTGTTTCCAGTCTACAACCTTCTTTTGGTCCTAGCCTACTTCGGTATAGACTCAAGCTGTAGTTACCTCTTCACCCTTCCCTTTAATATGGGACTGACTTATCATAATTATTGTTGTTTCACAGGAAATGCATGTGATAGAAGATAATCTTTGTTTAGGGAGCATAAAGGATACAAATGAAGTTGACAGCTTACAAAAGGAGGGAATTACGTACATTTTGACATTGGATATTAAACCTCTGGCCTCCAGCTTGACTGGTCATTTTTGCACAAAATTTGTGCCTTTAGAAGACATTGAAACTGCCGATATTTTCGGAAAACTTCCAGAGTGCTTAAGCTTTTGTGATAATGCAGTCAAAAATGGCAAACTTTTGGTACATTGTCATGCAGGCGTGTCAAGAAGTGTATGTATTGTTACTGCCTATTTAATGAAAAAGTATTCAATAACTTTAATGGAAGCGGAAGAAAGAGTACGGGCAGTGAAAGGGGATATACAAATGAATGCTGGATTTGTTCACCAACTACTCCTTTTTGAAACTATGAAATGGAAGGTGGATGAGGATCACCCAGTTTATAAAAAGCACAAGTTCAAAATGTTAAAACATGAAATTGAGAACGAGGGTCACCAACAGTTATCTTCTTCTTTCATAGCTGACAACCCTATGATGTCTGGCAACAAGAGCGGATCAAATAGCTGTGTCTACAAGTGCAAAAAATGCCGAAAACCAGTATTTGAACAAAGAAATATATATTCTCATGAAATTGATAGCTCGAAAGCATTTCATGCCAAACTTTCTGAAATAAACACTGTCATGAAATGCAGCTCATATTTTCTTGAACCCATCAAATGGATGGAAAAAAATATAACTTCAAATTTAAATGGCAGACTTGATTGTCCCTATTGCTCTTTTCGAATTGGAAGATTTAACTGGGCAGGAACTCAATGTTCATGTGGACGTTGGGTTACCCCAGCTTTACAAATACATGCTAGCAATGTGGATAAAACTGCAATAAATTAAAAACAAAATTTACCTGGATTGTTCAGTTTGATAATAAGGAGCTACATTCATTTGGAGGAGCCTTTATGGTTCAAAATGTACTAGAACCCATCAAATAGATGGAAAAAACTATCACTTCAAATTTAAGTGGAAGAATTGATTGCCCATATTGCTCTTTTGGAATTGGAAGATTATCTGGACAGGAACTCAATGTTCATGCGGACGTTGGGTTACCTCAGCTTTACACATACATGCTAGCAATGTGGATAAAACTCTGCAATAAATTTAAAAAATTCATCAGGATTGTACAGTTTCGCAATAAGGTGCTGCGTTCATTTGGAAGAGCCTTTTTTGGTTCAAATGTTCTACACCCTGGGTGAAGTGGTTGGCATTTGAGCCAAAAGCACAGCTGAATCTACCTCCGTCTTGCCATTACTTCGAAGCAATGACAGAATTCAGTTGGGTATAGGCAAGCTTGACTGCTCAGAATAGCAAAATGCAAACCATCTTGAACCAGAGATGGACTTTCTTTGGTTCAAAGTTCCCCTTTAATGTATTTCCCTTTAATGTATTTCCCTTTCAAATAAAGTACAAACTTACGGTCAAATTAGACCCGACTCTACTAACTGTCTAAAGCTATGGCCTATTCTTTAATTTCATATCATGGAATAATTATAAGGTATCTAAATCATATTTATTTGAAATAACTCAATTGCAAATACATATGTTGTTATTTTTCATTTTATATATAGAGTCCCACAGACAAAGCCTGAAAGTAGAATGAATTTGAGTTGATAGAATTCTCAGAACTTACAGTTAAGTGATGACACACTGCCCTCTTCACCCACGTTTACCTTACGCTGGGGGAATGAAAGGGTTTGTCCTGCGAGAAGATGCCCATATTGTACAATACAACTCTCAAGTGATTCAACAATTTATATTCATGGATTGACTGAAATCAAGTCAAAGGCACTTTAGTATATAATTTATATATAAACAAGCAGTAAAGCCATGTAAGTTTGGAAAAATATAAACTGGGAAGATGAATTAAAATTACATGCAAATACCTGAAACTCACAAACAATACTTTCTTAGTTAAGACTCGAAATAGCATGTGTATCTAATACAGAAAAAATTAGTGCCATGGAGTAGGGATGGGCAATGTAGAATAATTTACTATTCTAGAATAGTTAAATCGAATCCAGAATACCGAATCCTATTCTATTTTCATACTTATTCAAATAGTGGGAATTTCTACATTACTGAATTTAGATGATAAAAAAATGCAAATGTATTACTTACTATAAATGTATTATCTATTTGGAAATGTCCTGAACATTGGATTTCATTTGATACTAAACAGGCAGTTCCCAGGACAATAAAATTTAGGAATATTACAATATTTTTTTGCCTTCCAATTGTTCCAAATGTATGTAATCCCTAAATACTAATAAATACTGATATGCTAAATTAAGACACGCTTTACACACTTTAATAGTAAGCGGTTAAATACAAAATAGACATGAAACGGCGTTAAATCATTATTAATGAAGTCTGCCGAGTATACTAAAACATACCCGCTGAGAACCAGCGTGTGGCCACTGCAACCTATGCGCCGTTGTAAAATCTTAAATTTAACCACTATCAATTAAAATCAACCATTTATTCTGTGAGAGCAAGACACGTAAAACCAAGTTCCCGTAAACGCGATTTCGTACTTAGTTATTAGGTAATAACGTCTGAAAACGAACTCATTTTCTATGATTATCGTTACATATCATTATCTACCCAGACTTGGCCCTACTCAAATTCAATACGTCACTATCTTCGCCAGATGCGGCAACTTTCTTCAAAATTCATGGGCGACTAAAATACTACAGACTTCCGATCAAACGTGCGTCTATCTTGAACGATAGAAATGTTATCATTAATCATTATCTACCCAGACTTAGCCCTACTCAAATTCAATACGTCACTATCTTCGCCAGATGCGGCAACTTTTTTCAAAATTTATCGGCGACTAAAATACTACAGACACTCGATCAAACGTGCGTCTATCTTGAACGATAGAAACGGACCGAAAAATATGTAATCTTTTGAGAGTGAAATTTAAATGTGACAGTTGTTCGCGTTTTGCGATATAACTTTGTATTTCGGAAAATGGTATAATAAAATTATTCGTAAATAATATTTGATCTAAATTAATGGCGAGTAATGTTATAACATTTAACGCCTGGCTTTTGGTTTACTCGTAGGTCGCGAAAAATCATTTAATTTAAAATGAGGCAAGGCACGTCTGTAAACAATTGAAGATTGTTGCATTCAGATTATCGGAATATCACCAGTAAGTCGGCACAAATAACGCTAGCTAGATAGCAAAGAAGGAAAACGCAAAAATGGTGCAATAACGAGTCCTCGCCGTGAGGTTATATTACCGACTTCTTGTCCTGAATATGCCGATTGAAATTACAGTGTTTGATGTTTACCGATTTACGGGTTCTTTGCGAGCAGACGCAAGTTTAATTAAACGAGAGAGATTTCCACACGAGAAAAACGCTCGTCTATAATTGATAAATTAGAAACCCGAAATACAAAAATTGACGCTTGGCGCCGGAGAGGCGGAAACCGAATCCTGTTATCGGATCCCGTTGGATTCGAATACTTTGGGATTCGAATCCTCCGGATTCGGTATTCTATATTGCCCATCCCTACCATGGAGTAATATTTTAATTGAAGCTGTAGTTGTATCATGATCTTACAGAAGGTTTTGTGACAGTCTACTAAAACGAAATGGAATCTACTTAACCGTGGCATAAGTGCGAATTTTGCACATGACAGATTTCTTGTAATATGCGAAATATGTCATCATTTTGCTAAAATACTGTAAGTAGAAAAATTATAAAAACTTAGCTGGACTAATAATATGAGCACAACGACATGGTAGCAAACTTGAACCATTGCTGTATATCCTTCCTAATAATACTGGTATGTTTCAAAAATACATATTTTTGATAAATGCGTGTCTGCGAGTCATGGCTTAGTTTGGCATTGAAGTGAAAGCAGCAAATTTTTGACAAGATATTCAGAAAATAAGTTATTTAACAAAAATCTAATGCTGAATCGGTTCAGTGGAGTTCCACAATATACAGAGGCAAGTTTGGTTATCACCTTCACACAAATCAACATATTGCATAATATTTAATAAACTGAATATACCAGGGTTCCAGAACCCCCAGGTCTTGATTGTCTTTGATTTTGGAATGTGCATCTAATAAGAGGGTATACTGTAATTTAATTGCTGAGGAAAAATAATTTTATATGTACGATTTGTAGTGCCTCCTCAGAAGTATCTTCCTTACGGCTCTTAGTACAGTCATGTATGCTACTATTTTGCTTCTGATGAAGATTGTTTCACTTGGGCTTCAGCTAAGCCGGAAAATATTTTAAAAATTATAGGATATTGCTTCATTGCCCCAAACATGTATATTCGGACATATCGCTTGCGACTGGTCTACAGTAACAATCATTAGGTAAATCTCAATGGTTAATTAAAATTAGGGGATATGCTTTCTCTGAATAAAATAATGCTGCACTTCACGCAATCAGCGGTGTTCTTTCCTCTTGGTGTGATTGTACGGGTATTGCACCATTTATTGAGTGATGTAGATTGTCACACCGATTGTTTGGCTCCACATCCATTGTTATGACTTGAAAATCTCTTATAAAAGTGTAAAAATATGATAGGAAAGTCGCTGCCAGAAGCCACTCTGCTATTGTGCTTGCTAGATGAGCAGCATACCTGCAAATTTAATAAAGATATTCAACTCAAACACAGGAAAAGATGGTTTAAATATGCTGACTACAGTTGATCACGACGCTTTAGCAGTAACATTTTTGTATAAATTTCAAATGATGTCACCTATAATTCATTCTATTGATGGAATCATAGTCATGTGTTCGAGAACTGACTCAGATCAGGTGCAAAATGCAAATTTTGGATTGTGGAAGATTTCTGAATCATCTTAGACCAAGTGCGATATCAGTATATTCATGACAGAATATACAGATCTTTGTTGCAAAAAAAAAGAGTAGACGAAATTGTTTTCGTTGGTGGTAAAATGTTCATCTTTGAAAAATCACTTTCATTTCGTAAGGAATTTCATGTCTGCCATTATAAGAATGCACAATTGATACCAATATATCATAAGAAACCATCATTTGACAAGACTGTTCATGAATAGCAAAGATAATGCTGTAACTGAATTACCCACCAGATCATGGTTCAAAATCTGATGAATCCGGATTGATCCTTATTTATAACAAAGAACAAATAAAATATTGTTTTCACAACTTGACATATAAATGTCATTTGATATAAATCAATGTCAAGTGCTTCATACTTGAGCTGTCCTGAATTAAATTAACTCTTGATCACACAATATTGACCTACTTTGCGTTGGATTATTGATTGATAACAGTATCGCAGGCCCAATAAAGATTCTTTTCATTACTACACCCATGTGTAAAACATAGATTTTAGCGGTGAGTGCAACGAGTTGAGATCAGACTTGCCATGCTAACTATGTGACCTTGTCTGCTTACAAGACTTGACAATGTAGCTGGCCATTTTACAGGCTTCTATCTTTTCAGAATAAATACAAAAAAATGCCTTTTACCGATATAATTTGGAAGAGAGAAATGCATTTAAAACAATATTCAAAACGATAACTAATCATACCCATGATCTTCAGGTGCCCAATGGAATTTGACAGGTACTTGGGCAATACTTGACGCAATGAAAGTAGTTGTAATAAAGACAACACTCAGTATTGAAATTCCAAGACGAACGTGTGCAACGACCAATCCATTAACTTCAGGATGCATTTTATAAGTTATATAGGTTTGCATAAACTCATATACAGTGCCACCTCCAAATGTAAGCAAAGCCCCGAATAGATGGACTCCTAAGACACTCGTTTCCTGAATAGTAAGAATAGATTAGCATAAAAGCAAATGTTCACAGATTTTTTAAAAGTCACAAAGATTTTCCTATCCTGATAGATATGCTTTCTAGGTGTCGCTGACACAATGACTTTGGTAGTCTTTCGTGGCCCCTTGTCAATTGGGTGTTCCTGAAGTATGCGCACCAAGATGTCGCATAACCTGAACCCTAATCTGGTACACATTAACACATACTATGTTCAGGCTGTGCGCCATCTTGGTGTGCATACTTGAGGTCCGTCAATTGCAGCTGTTTAATTGTGTCATTACAATATTTCATGCACGACGAAACAAACATCTGAATCTAAATAATCAAATAAAAAGAGTTTGAACTCTTATGTCGTTACCTGAAAATTCGCTACAAGAGACATTCCAAGACTTATTGCAATCCCGAAATACCAAGATATTTTATTCACCCGATAAACTTTCCGTACATCATGGTCTGAGAGTTTAATGAGGAAGGATTCAACCTGCTTGTAACGAACATACAGACAAGCCAGAGCTGTGATAAAAATAGAAAAGTCGTTTATTTAAATACTAATCAACTGGCAACATCAAAAAGTCCTTGCAAAATCTTGCTGATATAATTTTTGGAAAACCCTGCACCTTCCCCATGTCAGACATGATTGAAAAAGATAGAATTCCTCAGCTTAATCACATGGTGAACCACGGCCAGGTCACTAGTCCATGTCAGGTGAGGGAACACCAAATCACCTACTCATTTCAGATGCATGGACTCGATCTCTGAGCGTTTTTTCAATTTGTACTCATTTGTAACAACACACGTTTTACCGGCGCTCCCATAGTATGTGAACCAAGTTGGCAGACATCGGAACATAGTATGTGTACCAGGTTAGGCCCTAATTTTATTCCAATTTTTCTCATTTTAATTCTATTAGGAGTTTGTGGACTAGCCAAGTGACTCCCATAATATTTGTACCTGAAATTATGGCATAACCTTAACCTGGTACACATACTACCGTTTTACCCTTAGTAAACTCACCAAATCCAGCTGTAATATTCAACATCTGTCCAAATATTGAACTTTCTGGTCTCCTTGCACCAGTGTCGGATATGTATGGAAACCCTGGATCAACATCCCCACGAGAAACAGAGATTATATACGAAATGGTGAAGGTCAGGTATGTCCAGACAATAACGAATATTGGGAGAAAGGAAAGACCACGTGTAAACCAGAAATCCATTATGTACAAGCTTTGTGTGGTTCAGTAGAACAGTGAATAAAAATATTTTAATACTACATTAGAAGACCTAATAGGAGAATTTACAGAAACAAGAATATGATCACCAATATATTTTCAATACAACATTAACAAAACATACCAAAAACAAGAAGATGAATAGCACATTATTTTTCAATTTCAACGTCTGCATCAACAGAAATTGCAGAAAGTACAAATATTGGAAGTAAGGTTGTAACATGATATAACTCAATTTTCCACCTGACAAATTACATGAGATAAATTCTTGACAATATTATATTGGTAGAAATGTTATTGCATCCAATTATAATAATGTAAAAATCAAAATAGTATAATACAAATAGAGCAATAATGAAATGTAGAAAGTATTAAAACAAAACAATTTTTAAAACATCCCTAGAATGATATTTTGAGACTAGCTCAACACAATTCAATTGATACTGAAAAAATCACAGATATCAGTAAATGAGGGCATGCCAGTTTTACACTTGACAACTTATAATAATGTTTAACATCGTACCCAGTGGTGGGAATCAGCCGGTTTGCACCGGTTCTATAGAACCGTCTCACGGAAATTTATGAGATCAGCAAACCGGTTAGCATTACTGGTTACTGTCAATGTTCTGTTTGTAACAGAATCGGCTGAAAAATATGATTTTTGTGAAGGAACCAGCTGACAAAAAATTTGAATTACACCACTGACCGTACCTCAATGTATATGAATTTACATGATAGAAAAAGAAATACAGTTCATTTTATCTCTCATTTAGCCTGACACCACTAAGAACTGGTCAACCAAAACTTCATCATTTTTACATCATCATCGTTACAGAATAAACAGTTCTGTAATAAATCTGTTGTGTCATCTTTATTTCTTTTATCCGTCACAAATTTGCGAAGAATTTCAGTTTTATTGATCCATTCTTGTTTTAAACAAAGTAAACATTGCAAAACAACCTCATTGGAAAGATTCTCATTCGCTAGAGCAACCTCCAGTTTTTCAAGAAGGCTTGGACCCTTTTCTGGAATAACACAACTGCTGTTCCATTTAAATTCTATTCCATTCTTCCACAAGACTTCTACAATAACATAGTCTTTCGTTCTGACATTTTTGAAACTCAAAAGACAAGGCATTCCAATTAAATTTTTGTCCGTTGGTATTGTAGTCGTCCACTCTGCAATATTAGCACAGCCTTTTGGTAGGATATTTTTGAGGGTATGAATGGCTGATATAACAGCAGATTGCAATCCATGCCAGATTACTTGATTACCAATAAGCAAATGCCAAACTATAGCTCTGAATCGTGGAGGTTGTAAAACTTCCCTCATGTGGCGTAGCGAAAGAAATTTGAAACCCGACCCAATTGAAGAAGCAATAGTTTGGTCGTTCTCATCTAAAGATAATTTCTCTAAAGTGGGTGGATTATAAATGACATTTTCTTTCCAGCGTAGTTTACAAGCTCGTATTAACCATGTGAAAGATGAATGAAGATATGAATATAGTTTTTCATCGCCTGTAAGTTCAACAAGTGCTCTTGCATTAGAATGACTGCTCCGATTTGATCGAAAATTTTGCGGAGTTACGGTCTTCGATAGAGATGACTTTAGTCTCGTATTTCTCTGGGGACATTCAGCATGTTCACTGTTATACACTGATACAGCACATTTTTGAAAATATGCTATTATCTTACTGATGCATTCCACAAGAAAAGGCCAGGACTGGATCAAATATATACGATCCATCATAACAACGATTATGCTATATTGACGTTTAAAACCTCTTGCAAGACTGTCTTTGATTGGAAAAGTATAACTTAAGACGTAGCCTTCATTTTCATCACCATAAAAAATAGGTCCTTCCCTTCCAGGGCATACTTCGCTGCTGACACTCCTCACACAAGCTTGTCGAACTTTACCAAAAACATTTGGATTCTGCGGATGTTGAGAACTAACAAAAACTTCTTCAGTTTTTCCATCATAGCTTATGAATCCTTTATGTCCATCTGGTAAAGATCGACACGCCTGACAAAGCGAACTTTTATTAACTGAGTTTTGTCTCGAACAAGGTCTTGAAAAATCCGCAGACATCACTGAATCTGGATAACTGGTTCCAAGTGGAATTTCTTGCGAAGAGCTTACTTCTGGCAACGCATCCAGACCAGTTTCTTTCTGGGGGGGTAAGCCTCCTTTCTCTGTGCAGAACATCACGCTTGGACCATGTTGCTCACAGAAATGACAAAGGGCTATCACAGCGTTCATTGCACAGAATATATATTTAAGCGAAACTCTTATCAGTTAATAGTAAATCGATTTAGTCCTGTAAAAAATTCCAAATGTACAAAGATTTGAATATAACAAATAAAACACTACTCATTGCACCATTTCATAGTATCAAAACTCAAAACTATATGTTTTTTTCCAGAGGAATCTGATGGTGACGTTTTTAGATTGCACTTCCATTTAGTTTATTGCGCATTACTGTACCGATTTGTGCCAATATTGAAGACCAGACTCGTAAAGGAGGGGTATATTCTCATTGTTATAATTGATGTCTGTGAATGTGAGGGTTATTCTTGGAATCAAAAAACTGTGCTGTACCAAAATACTGGTATAGCTGTATGATGCTTAATTGGTTACCGGAATTGCGACCCCTACAATCTACAGTCATTAACTTGCCACCCACCTTTCTACAGAATCTCGAAAAACTTGGCGCGGCGGTGTGGCTCAACCGGCCAAGCGTTAGGAATACGCTCGCCACCGCACCTCTAATTACTCTGCGTAGGTTCGCAGGTTCGAATCCCATGCAGGGATGGTTATGTGCGAGAGGATTGCTGGACTCCTCGCCGTCGTTGGGTGGTTCACGTAACCGCTGGTCGGTTTCGGCTTCCTCCACCACCAAGGCCATGCTTGCGAAAACAAACAATATAACTAATCCCATATCCGGCTTGGAATGGTAACCGGACGAGAGGCCGTAGATAGATAGGCTAGTTTATATCGATTAACGTTAGACTTTACATAAAACGCAAGTTTATTCACATAACAATGATCAGGTCAATAATTACTGGTTACTAAGCAGGGCTGGGCATATATTCGAATATTCAACTATTACTGTATTAGAATAGCAATTTGCTCATTACATTTAATGGTCCGCGACCGATTAAAAACGCTTTTTTAGACATTACAAATCGCAAAATTTGGCTCTTTTAATTAACGAACGCGTAATTGCAGCAAGTTTCCGATTTTGAAATTCGTTAAAATTCTGTTGTGTTTGGTTTTATTACTTCTTCACACAGAGTACAGTTGCAATAAAAGCACCTCGAGTCCGCAAAGGTTTTCGCTGGTGCAGTGGTGAGAAAATAGTCCGCGACCAAAAAAGGTTGGGAAACGCTGTGCTAAGCGATAGAAATATGCTCGCCTCCGCAACTCTGCGTGATTACTCTCCACTCAGCCACTGCTCTACCACCAAGTTCATGCTTCCGAAAAATAATTACCGTAACTAATCCCATACCGGTACCGGTACGGTACGGTACCCGATACAGTGATATGGCATGGTAACCGGACGAGAGGCCGTGCTATCGACTTCCCTCTCCCCCGGGATGAGTATGTAAATCCTATCCTGAACGTTAGCGAACAACACTGAGATAAACCAAACGCCTTCACAGACTCCTGGACACAAGAAAATGATCGACAAAAGGGATTCCCCTAAATTGTCACAAGACCAGTCATGTGAAGTGCTCGAAGTGGACTGACGCAAAAACGCCATTGATCGGTTTTTGCGATTATAATACGAAATGCTCAACTTAAATCGAGGTCACACGATCACATTATTTTGAAGAAGATCATTTGATCTTTTTATGAGAGAGCTTTGTGATAGTTATGTATTTTATATACTGCTCTTCCGACGTAAAATAACAACATATCAAACGTCTCAGTATATCAAACTTCCATTTATTAAGCTGGCAGTTATAAAAGCGGGAGTGATATATACAAGAAGGTGACATTGACTATTTTGCAAGATATCCTTCCCATCACGTGATATACACCGATATCTATCTTCATGTACACTGGCCACAAGTTCTTTTGCAGATATTGCGGACAACGACAGTGGCTTTACAAAGTCGCTTGAGAGTTGCGCATGCATTTCCACTCAGATCGAAACACGCGAGTGCTGGAAAACAAGAAATAATATTTAGCAAATATCTTCGACTGATTTGAAGAAATATTCGAATTCGCGGTAGTTCCATTTTTTATATAACCGCATTTAGGGACTATTATGCGCAGAGTCTTATAAGGCGCACTGTCAATGAATGGCTTACAATCGGTTTCTATCCATACATAATATGCATCGGGCAACAAGGTACATCGATTTTTAAAACGGTACTTATTTTGAAAGTGGGCAGTAAATCACTACCGGCTTATAAAGCACATGATCGATTTTGAAGGGAAAAAAGTGCGCCTTATGATTAGTAATATACAATTTCACCAATATGAAGCCAACTTACTTCCTGACGCAGTGCAATATCCGCAACTTTTTTGACACTTCTTTCTCATCATTCTTATATATCCCGCAGAACTGCATCTTCCTGTTGCTGCCCAGTACTGGCATTCCGTCAGCTTATCCGCACATGTCGGGTTTGGGACTGTTGTTGGACTGACAGTAGTGGTAGTTGTGGTAATAGCTGTAGGTAAGAAACGTAAAATTTGTTAACACAATGGCGTAAAATGAATTCCAGTGTATTTTCGTCAGAAAAGAGTTCGTATAGTCAAATCTTATATTTTCTATTTTATCGTAGAAGTAGTCTACCTGAACACTTGTAAAGCAAGTTGATCTGATCAATGTCCGTCTGCACTAGTCCAGCTTCCTGAAAACGAAATAAAATAGTGTTATATATATATATATGTAGGCTACAGTTTAGCATCGTTCTTTTCGAAATAAGACAAGCAATAGAATGGCGCAAGCAATTAGAATGGCATCACTAATAACTCCAAAGATGAATCGAAAGATATATAAAGTATACCTGGTATCCAACGAAATCAGTTCCATCGGGCATCGTGATAGTTTTCGAAGTGTCGTCTTTAGAGAAAGCTGTTCCAAAGTAGTGCATAATCGATGTATAATCGTATGGTGACCCGAGCGAATCAATTGTTGATATTTTTTCAAAGTTGCCCTCCTTACCTGAAAAATATAAAGTTGTTGAGTGAATTTGAATCAAATTTTACTGCCATTGACCTTTTATCAGCAGTTCCATTGAGCCCATTTTTATGGTTATCTTCGCAAAAATTTTGCTGGTCTACTTACTAGACCAAAAAATTCACTTGTGACTTTTTAGAAGCCTATGCTTACGTTCAATCCAGAGAGCCGACTCTAGATATACATTTCCGAGAGATTTTCTTTGTATTCAAGTCACTATTTTATTTAAAAAAAATTGCGTTTTGGGAATTTTTGTCAAGGTGGGAATTAGACGGTTAATGATGTATTTTTGCGAAGTAAAGAACGTAATTCAACAGGATACACTCAGAAAATAAATATGCTTCAGTTATAATTTTGTTACCATAACAGATGAAATTATGGATTTTTGCACGTGAGTATAGAAAAACTTGAAGCCGATTGGATCTATGATAAGTAATTTAGGAATAACAAACTTGCAAAATATATGGTATGGCCACTTCCCGAAGTATGTGAACCAAGGTGACGGACACCGGAACGTATGTGTACAGGGTTAAGGTTAGGCCAGGATTTATTCCAATTTTCCTTTTTTTTAGTTCTATCACGAGTTCGGGGACTAGCCAAGTGACTCTCGTAGTATTTGTACCTGAAATTATGGCCTAAGCTTAACCTGCGTTCCGGTGTCCGCCATCTTGGTTCACATAACAAACTTATAACTAATTTGTAATTACCTGGTTCTACATTTGCTAAGATGATATTGACGTAAGCATCGCGATCAGGTCGTTGATGCTCATGGAAGAAGCCTAGACTGTGCAATATTTCATGAATCGCAATACCTTTGGTCTGACAGCCGTCACCTAGAGAAATCTGAATAAAAATAAAATTTATATCAGTGGTTCAATTATTTTGTCAGTCAGAAGATGAGATAGATATATTGATGAATTTCCAATATGATTTGGAAATACCGCAAGGGTTCAATTTTCACTTTACACCCTGAAACTGTTGTCAACCGGTGACCGTGCATTTGAACCCATGTACATTTGAACCCATGCGTATATCCACGGGTTCAATCTATATGCGGGTGCTAAAACCCATGGGTTAGGGTTAGTATGGGTTTAACTATCCGTGAAACAAAAAAAATGCCATAGGTGCAATAGCATACAGGTGCAATTGTCATGGGTTCAAATGTACGTGGGTTCAAATGTAATGGAACCTTGTCAACCAGCAGTACCCAAAGCCGAGTATGCTTTAACACTGAATAGACGTTGGTATTCGGAATTCATGTACTTCTCAGTCTCGAATTATTACCAGAGTGAAGCCGCAACCCGATTTGGGTTGTTTTTTACATTTCAGTGGTCGACTGCGACTTTGCGAAAATTAGTTTAATAAGATTTAAGAGCATATGTATTTTTGCTATTTAGTCGCACCCTATTTATCCCAGTGTTACGTCCGATCGGTGCAAAACAGCCACTATCAGCGTAAAACTGCATGTAGTCTGATTGTGAAGTCCTTGGAATAAATCGTAAGCAAGTTGAGGCTTCCAGGTCGACAATGCTTTGCTGAACGGCGGTTTGTCCTGCGCTGGCTGCAAGGTAAAATTATAAATACTTATTATTCAAATATAAATTGCACGCGTGGTAATTGTTGTTGAGAGAGAAAGTCCTTTTTATTCAGTTAAGCCCTTCGCTTTTAATGTTCAAGAGTGATTAAAGATGTAAATCGTTTTATAAGTCTATTACTGGCACCATTTTATGCCATTTATTTGTGCTGCTTTGCTGTTTATCATAGACGAGGTCTGTGTGTAAACTGCTGTAACGATTTGCAGTCGTAAAGAAATGTTGAACTCTCATAGACAATATTGAAGTTTAATATTTGAAAAAAAAAATACTAAATTTTTAACTCTTGGGCAGTACTCACCGAACCCCGAAGCAAACTCGTAAGGAATGAGATATGTGGTCCCAGATGGAATGTTGTTCCAAAGCGGGAAACTAATGCTGGCGCCCTTCGATGGCCGGCCTGGTCTGAAGCCAGCGTCAATAAATCTGGCAACCGTTGGAGAGAGTATCATGTCATCCATACGAGCTAAAAATATTGAAATGTATTGTTACTTGTACATTCGTAAAACTGATTTATCAGTAAGACGATTTCTCCAAAAGAAGCACTTACTTGGGTTTGGGTTACAGGCGCAAGTGAGACATCCATAGCTATCTAACAGTCTTTCAATGCATTTCGTACCAGGACATTCTACAGCAACATTCTGCACTCCACATGTTTTACTTGGTGTCCGAGGAATCCGCACTGCTGATACCGCACACGCACCGACGATAAGAATAAATGCTGAAAAAGACGAGTAAGAACAACTTGGAAACAATCGATCATATAATATATATATAACAAAAAATACTTCATAAGCTTTTTGCAAGGTGATCATGTTTTTATTTTAAAAATTATAGGAGTAAAACATTAAGTTTCATTTACGAAAAATAGGACACAGGTTAACGATAATAGAAATGACAGTTTTAAATTGACTTACCGAATTTCAACATTGTGCTCAAATATAACAAACTGTTGGCTCGACTTAAAATACAGTGAATGAAGTTCAGGACCCATCCCTGCACTTTTATACAGTTTTCGATAATTATTTGTTAATTGTTTCCAAAAACGCGTAATAAATTTTAATTGTTTATTAGTTTTTTTGTTATTATAATTTTCAATTCTAATTACGTTGATTATAAAGTAGTGATTGTTATTGCGGCTGTGATATCACACTTGGTCTGGTGCAAAAGTATAATTGTTCTGAAGAAATATAAACAATACCTGGCAAATATATCTTTCTAAAATGGTTGATCCCTCCCATTGTTAGGGAATCTGAATTTTGCTTCGGTAATTACTACCGCCATTTTCCATCAGATTAAATATTTGCCATGCCAAGTCCAAGATGAGTCGCGTCAATCAACAAGTGTCGAAACGTGGTCGTATATCAGACATGAAATTCTGAGAAGATTTGGCCAATATACGGATTTTAATTATTTGTATAACATTTGTTACAATCAGGTAATTTGCTAAAATAAACAGTGTCATGGATTCGTAATAATCTATCGAATGCAATGAGAAACGATTTTCTTGCTATTTCAAAGAATCGGACTGAACTATCCAATGCAAGATAGTGAGTTTGAGAATAAGTTATAATCTGAATCAGAAATATTTATTTAAATATTTGTTCAAGGAAGGAATTCAACAATGAACAACAGTAAGTAGTTTGTTTTATGCTATCTCAAAGAATAACAAAATTTGCTTTTTTACGACTTATCCTTTTAAATAGTAAACTTAATGTATATATTTTCTATAGATTTAATCGAAGTTTGTTTTACTGTATTTTTGCTTGTTTTGCCGTATTCACTTTGTTTGTTGTTTTTAAAAGGACCTTAACTGTCTGGGGTATTTAACGACTTGAAGCATGGTTCCCAATAAGTAAAAACAAAAGGAGAAGCAAGTAATCACTAGGGACTAAATGTTACAATTAAATTCATGATAGGCAGCAAATCATACCTTCCAGAAGAGCCATTTGAAAGACTTGATGCTTTTTTGTTTAAGTGACTGTGAATAATTAGTTAAAAATCGAAAATGTTTAAAATTGATATTTAGATAAACTCGTCACATCATTTCTGATTTGCTTGACGCTACGATATTCGAGCTGCTCAATTATCCGTCGCTCTGTTCAAGGAAGGGCGGGTGCGAGAGATGCAACGAAGTGGATGAATCTTCCTGATGGAGACAATTGGAACATTCCTTATGTGGTGGAAGGAGTCAGTAAGTCAATTAATGGTTCAGATTCATGCTTTTATGGAATAATCCGAAAACTATATTTTATTTATATCACCCATTCGCGTAATTGTGAAATATTTTTTATTTCTAATTTATAGTATTTGTATTGCGAAGTTTGGTCATGCACATCATATCGAACAGGGTGTTATACATTTCGCTATGCCGAGCACACTAGCATGAAGTCACGATTGATTCCCTATTCCCCTACCTCCAGAATATGTCTACTGATCGTAGCGATATTTCGTCAAACATGACCGGTACTCTTCTATGTAACTTGACTTGAACTTAACATTTCTCTGGGTTACTTCAGATAGCATTTTGATCATTTTATCATGCACAGCTTGACATTGTTGTTTAGATATAAAAGCTCAAGTTGCGATAAGATATGCAATGACTGATTTTCATGAAACCACCTGTCTGAGATTTATTCCAAGAACAACGGAAAAGTATTTCGTGAAGTTTGTTGACGAAGGTGGTTGCTACGCACAAATTGGACGACGGATGGATAAACCGAATACGGTAAATTTTATATAAATAATCAATCTGGACAATGTTCTGTACAAACGACCTATATATTTGAGTATTCGTAACATCCAATAAGCTATAATTGATCTGAATCCTTTTTATCGAAACCACAATCAAAATTTATCGAGTGCTTTCAATCCAGCAATATTCATAGAATCTTTTACCATAACAGATTTAGCTCTTTGTTCTCAATTATTGTAAATAAAGTACAATTCTTTCCTAAAAATAATTGTAGTCTTGCGCAAGTTATATTCACCAGCTAAGTTGCAACTTTTTAACTTAATTGATTGGCAATTTTTGAATAGACCACTGGTCTGGAGTGCATTTAGCTCCACTCAACTATGTTTAAATGCCATAAACTAGATGTCTAATATAGAGAGAGAACCAAGTGAATATATTGGCGATGTTGTACATGTAAGTAGCTCGCGTAAATTTGGCAGAATCGGAACCCATAATTTTTTTTAATATTTCTACTGACGAAAAACAGAAAATTCATTTATTACGTGAAATTCATTTCGTGTATTGTTGCGCTCAAATGTTCCAGTTAACTACGACTCTCCGTATAAAAGTAAAATTCTAAAATCTATTGTTTATATGGATAACAGTAATCACCAACGACACCTTGTTTCTGTTTCATCTTGTTTAAATTTCGATTTCTTTTAGTTATCGGTTAGCAAAGGGTGTGAACACAAAGGAATTGTACTACATGAATTGATGCACACAATTGGATTCTACCACGAACAAGCGAGACCGGATAGAGATGATTACATCTCCATCGTGAAAGAAAATATCATGGAATGTGAGTTTGATTGTAAACAGTTCATTGAGTAGGAGAGATATTTCAAGAATATGTAGTTAATCATTTTTGCTTCACAATCATCACTATTATAGCCTGGAGCATATATTACATCGCCAAAGTATAGGGTGTCCATAAAGTCTTAAAACAATTCTAAATTGAAATTGCAAAGAAAATTTATCGATACCATATAATATTTTGGCCCTCAGAGATGTAATAAATGACGTTAAAATGATTAAACTGATTGAAAAACAACAAACTTGGTTAAGATATATTGAGAATTGACTTCATAACAAAATTTAAACTGTAAAGGGATTCTATGGACACCCTATGGTGATATGTTGAAATTTCAGCGCTCCAGAAATATGTGTACCAATATGAGGTTACTAATTTTGTTCGCCTACTTTACATCAAGTTGTGTAAAGAGACTGGAGCCCATGGGCAGGGGGTATATTCACTTGGCTAGCAAAGACAGTCCCGAACTCGTAATAGAACTAAAATATGGAAAATCGGAATAAAATTATGGCCTAATCCTAACCTGGTACACATACTACGGTGGTACTGAAATTTCATATATCTGACTTGCTTGCTTTTACACCATTTGAAACCAGTAAACTAACTTCACATTCAGACATCGGGAAATTGAGGATAGTCCTTCGTTTCACTCGTTTTTCCTAAATTGAAAAATTTATTCAAATAAAAATAGGTCGTATTTTTACTCACTATTTCAGACCAAGAACATAATTTTAAAAAATTGGATGAATCTAAAGTGGAAAGTTTTGGAATTCCGTATGACGTCACATCAATTATGCATTATCCGTCAGGAGCGTTCTCGAGCAACGGGAAAGACACGATTCAAGGGGTGAATGGTGAAATACTAACTGGCATGCAGGTCAAAAGCATTTAATTTTACTTTTAGTATATGGAAGTTTAAGAGAGGGCGTTGCTTAACTAGTTGAAACGTAATTACTTGCGAAAATACTCTAATAAATATTTTTCTTTCGTAAGAAATGTTGTTGATGATAATTCGGCAAAATCATACGGTGCTCACTGACAATAACAGTAGTTCTGTAAATACAATTTCCGATTTTTTTCAATTAGAACTTTGGGTGTTGTTGCTCGATTACCAGCTTTGATTCTTCGCGGCTTCGCGTCCCCAATAAAACTGTGTGATTATCCCTTTTTCTCGAAATTTGTACATGACTTACCGTATTTTTTTTACTGGTTGGCTAAAATGGACTGGATTTGACTTGAGCAAAATGGGTTTTATGAAGCTCATTGTGTTAAAATGAATGCCATAGCACTCACAAATTTGTTCAATTAAAGTAATTCACGGTACTGGTTTAAAGTTGACCTCATAATGAAGTCATAAGAATAAATTAGATAACGTTTGTTAGTTTTCCATGCTCATATATTTATTTATTATTACAGCAAGAGAATCTTTCATCTTCTGATATTGAACAAGTGAATAGAATGTATAACTGTCGTAAGTAGAATTCAGAAGTCAAACACAATGAAAAGCAGTGTTGTATTAAAATATTGCAAAAACTGACTATTATATATGTGTTTATTGCGCCAAATGTAACGTGACTGCACTTTTGATATTTTGAATTAACAAAACTTAGAATCCGCAGTTTCTTGTATGTTACGATTCTTTCGTCTCGTACAAACATTATTTTTGGACTAGGACTTTTTTCGAGGGCAAAACAAATATTTTTGCAGTTGATGTTCGTTCTGTTTCGTTAAAATTGAATAGCTGGCTATTATATTCAACAAAGAAAAATGTTCAATTATCAACTAACACATATATATGTTAATTATGTCGTATTGTTCGGCGAAAAATACAGTTCCAATGATTTTAAATTACACGAAATTGTACATGGATATATATATCAAATGTTGTACTAATATATATATCAGAAAACCTCATGACAAATGCGACATGGGAAAGCACTAATTCTTCAAGTACGGATACTTCGGTACTGGAAAACACTGTGGACAATTGCAAAGACAAACACAGTAAATGTGGAGTTTTTGCTCAACGTGGAAGATGTAAGAGAAGGCGTAATTGGATGTCTACGAATTGCCCAAAAGCTTGCGGTACATGCTGAGCCAAACAAACTATTTTTGTAATTGGACACGTAGTGGACATAACGATCGTTTCAATATTATGTTGTTCTTGTTCTTGTTATCCTTGTTGTTGTTCTTTGACACGTTTTTAAAAAGTCGCTTTTCTCTTCGAATACTGGACCAATTGCTTTGAAATTTTCAGTGGTTGAAGATAAAATTTTTCTCCAGAAGGCTATTACTTTTTTTTTCGCTATGACGTCATCAAAATTATTGCCATTGGGTGGCGCTACGTGTCCATATATTTGAGCATAGCTCTCTTGTTTAAAATTATACTTTTCTGACAATTCAAGCTTGTCGTTTTAAAATCAGAAGTTTCGAGTTTTTTTACGCCATCGCCAAACAATGCCGTGTTATATTTTATGTATTATTATAGATATAGGAGAATCTATGTCATTTATGTATGTAATAATTGCTGACTGCGAAGGTCATCCGTTGTATACGGCAGTAAACCAAACTATCCCCCCTGATTGGTATATATACAATGTGAACCCATAGAAACGATTTCGCGTTTACCTGTAAGCTGCTCTCACTGCGTTTTTTGGTTAATCTTCGTGTATTTGGTATTTTTGTTGTGTCAGTTTTTGCGATTTGGTTCGATTTTAAACCTTAGTGCTATTTCAACCCATAGGTATATTATTGACATTCAAATCATTGGAAAACGCATTTTGAATAATTTAGGTGCAGTATAGCAGGGTTTCCCGAACTGGGGTGAGCGGACCCCTGGGGTTCCGCGACGACAGCACAGGGGGTACGGTACGCAGCGATATTAAGAGTCTGAAATATATATATTTCACTGTCACACAGACATTCGTGAACAAGATAAAGACGAACCTTGCCTTTAGCGTCTGTGAGGAAGACCTCCGTCACAGAGCATTATTGAGTTATTATTATATCAAACTTGTGCGACTTTGCCAAGGTCATTTGAGCCCCGTTGCGACAAGAAAGAAGCGTGGAACCAAGGTAATTGTGATTAAGTTCAAAAAATTAAACGAACACAGTCCTATAAGTCAACAGTCTAACTTCGCTAACGTTACTCCAATTTCGTCTGTAGACTGTATTTGTATTCGTACAACATGATCAAAATAAGCCACTTATACAAATAAAAATGCTAGAGCATATTTAGGTGTTTTTCTCAACACTTGAGCACTAAAAATATCAAAAACGCATTTCTATAGACCTAAAACACCACCGTAGAAAATGTCAAAAGACGGACAACTCACCAGGCCTCTAGGTAGTCGAGTTGTCTCTGGTGAGTTGTCCGTGTAGTCGAGTTGTCCGCCTCCCCCGTACCGTACCGCTGTACCCAAAGTGACTATAACCACTTATAGTCACTTTGGCTGTACCGTAGTTAACTAACTGGCGTGAGCGTGGGATTTCTTCGGTTCTTTGGTATGCGATATCCCGGTATCAACTTTGATCTATGTGTTATTAGGGTAAGGTTTCTATGGAATACCGGTACCGTATATTTTTTACACTGTACTGAAGTATGTCTGTATGTAGATGTTCCTTAAAATGTAATCCTATCCTATGTTGTGTTCTGCCAGCTGCCCACGGTCAGACGGTGCGGGAATACAGGAATAATTAATAATAAAAGTTTAAGAAAATATTCTTGCTTTGAAAACCCATACCGGTACCATACCCTGATACCCGACATGGTACCGGAACTGCAATAATTTCCCAGGGAATGCAGTATTCCCGAAGGAAAAAGGTAAATTTGAGGTTTAAAAATATGATGCGGTACCTTTACCGGTACATTTTCTCACTGTCTTATATTTCTAAAACGGTAGAATCAAATATTTTAATGCAGTTTAAACTTCAAGGTTGGTAATACAGTAATAGTATTTTCCTGACATATAAGTAGGCATATGACCACATACAGAAACTGAGAAATAGACTATAACTCATTTTCTTCATAATATCTGATTTCTGAATTTAACTTACATATTCCAAGTTTAAGTTAAATCTGCATCTTTAATTTTCTAAAGGTATTAGTTTAATTAGCACTACTAAAATTAAGTATTCCAGTCTTCATAAAATGATTCTTCAACTTACACAATAGAATCTAAGCAAGTGTTTACCTCCTATCTTACATAGTCTTCACTCTATCCAACAAAAATCAATATGGAAATGCCGATGGATCACACAATGCCAATGGCTCATAATTCAACCGTGATGCATGATCATGATCATGACATGGGAAACTCAACAATGGATCACAGTGATCATGGCAGAGACCATGATTCTCACTCGGTATGATTCTTGATATTTTTTAAAATATATTTTAAAGTAGCTAACTAATTCTCGTATTGTTATTTAGTACAGTATATTGGCTATACAAGAATATCTAACAACCGTAATGTATGAATAGATTCAAGAATATCATTATTTGTCACAATATTTTAATGTGGAAAATTTTTTAAATATTTCCATAAAAAAATTGCCCAGTTGAGTTTTGACCAATAAGTCCCGACAGTCAGGGTGGTTCAATTCAACTCCTGTTAACTTTAGAATTTCGAAAATTGATGAAAATGACTATTTCATCACTTTTCATCCAATCTCTTTGATTTTACAATGATATGTTCCTGTTGATCATGTTTAGAATTCCATATTATAAGTAAATCATTATTCATTGAATTGTTTCAAGATGCATTCAGAACATTTAATTACTAAGTATTACGTATTCCTGGATACATACAGGATGCCCACAAGATACTGGTAGCTTGTAGTTATTTATCATACAAAAAAATATTTTTAAACTTGCGATTGTTATTACTATTAATTACTATAAATGAATTTTGAATTGCTATCACTATAAAATCAGGCAAAATTTTCTGTATGAAAGACAGTTTTCATGAGTGGACTACACCACAATTCAAGTTTATTTTATTTTTACCTATCAAAGGCCTCTTGATGCTCCCAATTATTTCAAACCCATCCCACCATCTCAAATTGTGTAGGCAAGGCTGAATCTGAAAGATTCCTCACTGTTTTAAAATGGTAGCATCTTACGTATCAGTGAATGCTTATACAGAGCATTGAAAGGGTTGAGAATGCAAGTCTAATCTGCTCTGTATAATAAACAAAGAATGCCAATATTAGGCTTGGGCCAATTGATTGCTAGCTACAGTCAAGGCATGGGCCATCCAATAAAGAATTTTGTGATATATATTGTTTATACTCCTGGTGGCTAATTGTGCCAACTGTCAAGACCAGACCATATCAATGTTCTTTATGGAATTGTGGACTGAATTCAGATATTTAAGTGATTTATGTTATTGCACTGCACTCATTTCATAACATAAGCAATAGATCTTATTTGTTTCAAAACTTTTGTTATTGCTGAGAAAGATTATTTTAATCAAAAAGCACTCTGTTTAAAGAGTTAGTGCTTTTCTTATATTTTTGTCTCTTTTATAATATTGTGCATAAAATGATCAATATTTGCTCAATAAATTTCAAAGTCTAGCGAATCGTTTGACTCGTAGTTTTATCACATTTTTGTCGTTTTATTGCAACAAGCTTTGTCTAAATTGAATAAGGCAATTTCTTTTATCTACCCATTTTCCTGTTATTGACCACTAAACAAATATTCAATATTATGTGACGCTTTTAATTTCTAGTTTCCTCATTGTAGACAAAAGTTAACACAGTAAAATGAACAGAAAAAAAAACGGTCTGAATCCTTTTGTTTGGGGTGTGTCTGTTGTCTAACTAAAAGTATATTTTGATTTCTACTTTTATTGTTGGAATTTAGGCACTTGAAGATGGAAAGATTTTATGCTCAATCACTTTTAGAACAGCAATTGTTTGTTGAAAATATTTTCCCACATTCTATTGTTGCTTCCCCTCACAATATCGAGTGGAAGTTGTTTTGCCTCTTGTTTTATAAAAGTTATTTTAATAAGCGTGAGAATGATTTTTATATCATTTACATTTTGGGGGTTGTCCAGCACTTTGATTTACATTTTGATATATGTAACGTAAATGGTTCTAGATATATAAGAAAAAAAACATAATTCAATATTACATAAAACCCAGTTTGTGCCACATTCATGCCTATTTGGATTAGCTAGAATCATACGGATTTTCTCCATTTATACCCTCAGGGTACACTGCTTTTTTTTTTGTGATTGTATTTAATCTTATTGGACATTAGGTGGCCACTATGCTAAATTGTTGATGTTCCCTTATTTACAAGATGCGAGCTGTATCGGAAACTTGGTGCATGAAAAAATTGGGGGTTGGGGGGGCCCCTTGCATACAGAAACTGTCTGCCTGAATGTATATAGGCAGGATTGAACTGCTAGTGTATCATTTTTGAATTAAAAGATCGATTATCTATAATGGTATTATTCAATGATATAAGACAAGCTTTTTGAGCTATTTTTAGAGTATTCATTGTCCAGAGAGAACAAAGGGCATTGCAGTAATATATTGCAAAACTAAACTTACCTCCTGCCAATATTTTTGATTTATTGTTTTAGTAAAATGAAAAAATTATTTGCCTATCACCGGTGACAAAACCTCAATTTTGCTTACCAATAGAAATACTTATTTTATGAAAAGATTTATTTGTGGTTGGGTGTGGTGCACTGTGTTAATTCCCAATAATCTTTAGTTTATGCTGTAGGATTACTTCCTATTACCGTAACAATGATGACTGTATAAACGATATGTAAAATCCATATTTCCAAAAAATCCATCTCTTGAATGTTTATGCATAAACCTCACGATTGTTTCAAATCCGTAACTTCCAGACAACTTTGTGAGAATTTCTTTAACCATAATTACACATGGAATGATAAATATATCTCTAATATCGCTTTCAATTTAACCACACATCACGATTTGATGGCATTGTGAATTTATCGGTAGATTCCACAGCGTGGTTGATTTCTAATTCTAAAATTTGATTTAATAATAAACATTTAATTAAGGTGGCTCCAGGAGTGTGTTGTGTACCAATATGGAGTACCGGTAACTAATTTTGTTCGGCCTATTTTTATATAAAGTTGTGTAAGGGACTGAGACCTATGGCCAGGGGGGTATATTCACTTGGCTAACACAGACAGTATTTTAACTCATAATAGAACTAAAATAAAGGAAGATTGGAATATAAGTATGGCCTAACCCTAAGCTGGTACACATACTACAGGAGTACCATTTGGGTACTTGTTTATTCATTGAAATTTTGCCATCACACTGTTTTACAATGCACATAGTTTTTTTTATTGTAATTGTACATAAGTTTGACAATTTGTGATTCATTGTCGTTTATTGACTACACAACACACATACCATTTCTGCTGTCATGCGAGCATTTGTTGTTTATGGATAGTGGTTAGTGTAAGGCAGTTTATGAGGTAGATTCACTGTTATTTTTCATGGCTTTTGGATTTCTGTTAACGGGGTATGATTAGGATATTGTGATATTTTTCCTTGTCTTCTTATTTAAAATTCCACAAGGATGTTTCAACGAGTATTTAGCCATAAACAAGATTATCGGTATATACCGGCAATTTTTTGCATTTAATTCATTAATCTATTTATCAAGTTTCTGTTTTATATAACATGTGATGTTTTGAAAACACATATTAACATTATCAGCATTTAGAATCTGTTTCTGTTTAGACATATTAATTCTCCGCCTTTTTTCTTTTTAATCAAATTATAACCTTGGGCTTCGAATTTTTTTTCGCAAATAGTAGCATGACATAGCTCACGTACAATGGATATCTAATTTTCAGTTTCAGTTAGTTTAAATATCAAATGAGATGTAATGATTCGTATCATGTAATTAGATGTAATCTACTGGTGCTTACTTTACAATTGAGATCAAGTTATATAGTAGAAGGCGAGAATCAATAATAATTTTATTTTATTTTTCGTAAAATTGCGCAATTATAAACGAATGTAAATATATATACGGTAATCCTAATCAATCAATGCTATACATGTTCACATGTTTTGAAAACGAAAGTAATAAAAATACCTACCTAGGTAATGTTTATGCAGTATCGTTGTATTTATTAATAAGTATCACTGTTTTAGAATTAAGAATTATCTCACTTAATAATAATAAAATATTGATGAATTACACTACTTTTCTTTATAAGCAGTTAGCAGTTAGCACCATAAATAACTTTTCTCAAAACTTCCACCTCATCATATTTTATGATGACCATGGTTGACACTAATTGAAGGTGTTTTGTTATTGTGTCATTTGGGTCAATAATTTTAGATCAAATATGTTCTGATGGCTGTGTTTGTTTCACTAACATACCCGTAGCAATAAAATACCATTATTTCATCTTAGTGGAAAAATACAGATTCTGTTGTATTTTATGTATGGTTTGTACTAAGTATTACAGATTGTAACATGCTTATTCAATTGTGACGGGCTTATGAGATTTCAAAATTTCGTTCCGGTAAGGAAATTCAGTTTGAGGTCATAATATGTTGCCACGTTATTGATGAAAATAGGTTCAGGAAATCCTGTCAACTATTTTTTGATGACTTTCATATGTGGTTATTGTTGGCTCATATCAAGTTTTCTGTTTCACTTTGTATGACTCGCTTATGATAAAATTCGAAATATAATAATATGATATGACAAAGTTTGTAATCTTATTATAAAAACACATATGAAACTACCTAGCATCCAGTTTATATTTAATTATTCCAATTAAGCATAAAATGAATAAAACAACTATCAATGTAATATCAGCTGTTGCATTTTCCCGTTTTGACAAAGATTGTCATTTGTAGTTGTGGAAATTATAAATGCTCACATTCGTAGTCAACTAACCATGTCTTCCTACTAAAGGTCTGAATGAAATAATTCGTTCTAATCCCATCATTTGTGAAAGAGTTACCTTGACTACTAAAATTGGTAGTTAGGGGGGGTCTAATAAAGTTTGGAAAGCTATGAAAAAAAGTTAGAAGAGAGCAAGCAGAAAACATTCCATGCTCAGTGTTATAACAAGGTCTGTGTTTGATGAAATATTTTTCTAATTATAATTTATAAATAAATATTCAATGGGTCCCCTATGAAATAAATAATTTGGGCAAACTTAAAAACAGATAAAAAACTGACAATAATTATCGTTTCAATTATATTCAATTTGTCAGTTATGGTTAGTTATAAGGACCAGTGTTATTTTGATTAGAAAATGGAAAAAAAAATCCAACCACCACTTATGCAGTAAATTTAAACTTCTTGGAAAACTCACAAGAGCATGTCCTTTCATCTGGCACGGATAGTTATAATTAGCTACTTGTGTTGATCTGTGTTTAGATTGACATTGATATGAATCTTCTTACAAAAAAAAACTAAAATGGAATAAGTTCCGATATATGTAAATGCATAGCTACTAATATTTTATTACTTTGACTGATCTCGCTTGATCAATTTATTTCTACACATAACATATTATTGTAATTAATTCTGACCAGAAAGTAGATACCATAATTGAGCACTTGAACTTTTGGTATGGATTCGTTTACATTACTTCCACTCGACTTTGCACTTAAATACCGCTGAATTATGGAAAAACGTCAACCGATAAGTCGCGCGTTAGTCATTCTCTGTGGTGTGATAAAGCGTTTTATTTTATATGTTTTGTAGGCATGGTGGCTTAGTGGTTGAAGCATTGGACTCAACTATGATGTCATTGCAGCCGCAGGGATGGCCAATACCGAATAGTTCACTATTTCGAATACATTTGAAATTATATTTTTCGAATATGAAATTTCGAATACTTCTACAATAAAATCCACTAATTGAAGCTTATCTAAATGTATGTAGGAATTTCCATACAATAAGCAATGGAATAACTGCTATCTACAAGTTACAACCTAGCTATATTACCAGGCATTTCATATTTGCAGATTATTGCAGTATATTTGCAGGTTGAAATATTGAGTTCAAATCGTCTGCTCACCATCCCACCCAGTGTGTCGACTGATCTTGCTTGATCATTTTATTCCTACACAAAACATATTATTGTAATTAGTTCTGACCAGATGGTAGATACAATAATTGATACATAAATTGTGTAGTCAATGTCGAAACCAGAAAGATTATGGGCCTTCCAAACTAAGTATCTCCTCACCTGCTTGTGCTGATCCTTTACAGAGAGAAATGCGTTCAAATTTGCCATCCATATGAACATACATATTGTGAAGATCTAATTTTTAATCATTTTTCCGAAATGTGTTTTTTCATTCATAGGCATCATCTCCAACTCTTCAGTATTTGGAAATATCCCTTTCTTTTTACATTTCGAATACACAATCATTTGAAAGCTATACCGAAATCCATTTGAAATTGCCATATTTTTTAATATTACACGATAACTGAAACAGTTACAGTGATTTCTTTACCAGTGTCGCATCATTATTGTAACATAACACTACCGGTATATCATCAATTCATGTATGCGGTAATTAAAATCATCCACATATTGAACATATTGTATTATAATACAGGAAATATAGGATTATTGTAATATTTTACTTAATTTATGCAATTTAAGCAGGAAACGAAGTGTAACATTTTAAAAACTATTACACAACATATGATGTAGGCAACATAATATGTCTTTGGTTTAAAAACGCAATATTATTATTCAATTCAACTAGGGTAGTTTTTGTCTAACACTTTTTACGGAGGAACACGTTTCAGAAATGTCAAAACAAGTTGTTTTGGTATATTGAATGATGAGATAAAAGAGATTGATAACAATTCAACAACAACTGAGAAGCGATAAACATGTTATTCAAATTTTATGGTGATGTCACAATACACAAGAATAAAAGTAATTTTTTCCAGTTAAAAAGTTACTAATATAGTCAATTATTAAATCCGATCTTTTATGTTCCACCAATCTCCATTCTCTATCAATTTAAAGAAAAAATTAAGAAATTGTGTAAGAAAAGAAATTATTTTTGTGCATTATGTGTAACATTTATTTAACTTCATGAAATTTTGTCAACAATTTTTTCTGATATTTAATTTACATGTCTATGGATAGGTCCCCATCATATACAAGTCATGTTAGTGGTAAGTTATATAAAAACCCTATATAAACTCAGACATTTTATCACATATATTAATCACTGTACATAATCAACATATTTTTATAGATATACAATCTTTATACCATGTAAAGCTCATATTTTCTGCAAGGCATTCAAGTCGACATGCTTTCAATCTAGAGTAGAAAATCTATGATGACTTGCATATTGTGCATAGTTTGTGAAACCCTTATTTGTGATATTGAAACATAGCAAAATTATTGCGGACAGGGCTGTGTAAGGGATATGGTGACGCCCTGTGAAATGCAACATCGACTCGAATTTTCTGAACCTTAATTTGCATGAAGTTTTGGATATGGCGCTAAGATTAACTCAGAATGAAAACATGATTTGAAAAAACATCTTCGTGATACAAGTCTCCTATCTGTCCATTTATTCTTTGAAGCTCATTCAAATGTATTTGAAGTTTTAAAAAGGGTTACTCAAAAGTACAGTCAAAACAACTATAAATCAACATATAATGTTTTCAGTTGTTATTTATAGATTACCTTTAAAAGTCAGCTTTTCCAGACAGTAATTATCAAGTATTTTGACATCATCGGAATGCTATATATTTTTCAATATGGTTAAGAAAATTACTCATAAGATGTTTTGTATTGTCTGTGCAGTGTGCATAGTGTTTTTTTGAAATTTTTTAACAAATAAAGATATGAATAAATCAAAAATTGTAGAACTTCAAAGCTGTATCCAAGATTTTGTTTATTTTTTCTGTAGTGAACACAAGATAATTAATCTTAATGATATTGAATTTAGTTTAATATTGTTACTTCTAATTTCTTCATTTTATATAAAAATAATTATTCCATTTTTTCATTTTAGATGATGCATATGTGGTTTTATTTCGGGATAACACATGTTACAATCTTGTTTGAATCATGGACCATAAATACTGCAGGAGGAATGGTCGGGGCCTGTATCGGGGTTATCATACTAGCAATGATGTATGAAGGACTGAAAGTATTACGAGAAAGTTTACTTAATAAAACTGCCGCTCTAACGAAACGGACGTCGAACAGAACAGATTATCCGAATGTGGATCCCCTGATGGACTCGACTGTCTTAACAAGATCTGGAAGGTTTGTTGTTTAATAAAAAAAGTAAACTTAGAAAGTATTTTTAAGATACTGACATATGATAGCAATACTTATAGTCATCATAGGAAAGTGAATTTTATTTCAACTTAACTCTCAGCAAGAACAAATACAAAAAAGTTACATTACTGTTTAGGTAAAAGAAACTACATCGTCTTAAAATGGTATCTTCTATCTCGGTGGTTCCCAACCTTTGTTGTAAATTCGCCTTCTTTAAAACTCATTTTTGAAGTTGTCATAATGCCTATGGACGCTATGATGACCAAAATCCATGGTTGAAAAGGCGGTGTTCCAAGTAAACATTATCTAAAAATGTATGGGTTCCTTCTGAGAGACTAAATATGCCTGTATTGGAAACATATATGGTAGTTTCATCATGTTTTAAATCTTGGCTTTTAGCCCAGTTACCCATACTGAACTTGAATGCATATTGTTTAATGCAATAACAAACATGGCCTTGCATATATGATGTTTACTAATTGATAAAAAAATAATTGCCACATTCAATATTTACTGAAAAGAGTTCGTGCAGATTGTCATCGGATTACATTACGTCAATTGATTGGCAAACTTTGATTTCATAATTCCCAAATTGTTTGGACTTCTGTCACAGAACAAATATTAACTGATGTGTTTCATTGATTATTGCTCAAAATGCGGTTTCGCTGAATCATTCGCTTTTAGCAACTTCTGTTATAAAACTCTTTTATCTCGTGACTTTATTATTACTATTTTATAAGCATGCTAGCATGTGATCTATGATATACCAGACAAACATGTGATTAGGGGAACCAATATTTTGGCATTTGAATGAAGCACCGGTAGTTTACTATAGACCATTTCAACTATAATGCTTATCAAAATGTTGCTTTTTCGTTTCATTTTTGTTTTTCCGCAATTAGAATTATTTATGCGATGCGTTTGCACACCCTTCTCTCCGAATAAAGCCTCTTACAAGTAGCCACTGTTGTCTAACGATATGTAAGAAATTACAATTCATTTTGAATTACCAGAATCTTCTTGGTTCAGCATTTCCTACCTCAATTCATTACACCCTGGTCTCTAGTAAGGTGGGGGGGGGGAGGGCATTTCATTTCCATATTTTTCTTTTTGATTCTGTGAGTGCAACCAATTTGTTTTGATTTCCAACTTCTTTTTTATGCTTCCAGGTCAAGAATTTCTATTATTCATTCAAATATTCTTCTTTTAACAGATCCACAATCTGGTCCTGGTGGCATCTATTACAGACATTTCTCCATTTCCTTCAAGTTATGATCAGTTATGCTTTGATGTTGATATTTATGACCTACAATGGTTATCTTGCGATCTCTATCTTGATTGGAGCAACTTTGGGATATTTCGTTTTTGGTTGGAAGAAAGCTGTCATTGTGGATATTAACGAACACTGTCATTAAAATAGAGTTTTTTTACTCTCGTTTTCAAGAATAATTTTTCCCAGCTTGCGCGATGTGATACAATATAGATGCAGTATGTTACCATTCAGCATAGTACTAGAAAGACCAAATAATGTTGTTTGTTATGACTTGAGATTATTAAAATTGTTAGCTTGTATGGCTCTAATTTACTTTGCCTTTATTCACTTGCGGGTAGTGAACGAGTTAGAACAGAACAAGGTATTAAATATCCTTCAAGCTGGGAGAAAGATATGTTTTTCACATACAATGTTAACCATGAAAATTTTTTATAGCAATACATTGCCCAATTTAATATTTGTTTCATGTGGGTCAGCTAGACCCATTGATTGACTGATTGGATAATTCCAAGTCCTTTATTAACCGCTTTCTACTAACATTTTTTAACAGAAATATTAACCTATGTATAGCTTTTAATGTGTCAATGATCACATGCGATTCTATTGGTATCCTGAGCATCTTTATTAGAGGGCTTGCAGCCTTGCTTGCAAACTTGCATATAACATATAGTAAAGCCAGAAAGTTGGGATAAATTACAGTTGTTTTGTCAATGCTTCTGCCTATTGCTTTCAAAAAGGGCTAATGCAAAATCATTTATGATTTCCTATTTTCAGCTTTTATGACATTCTGTTGGTGCTTTGTGTTTTCCAATGTTTGCTCACTGTTAAACATTGATATTAATGTTAACATAATAGAGTTGTTTTGTGATATCTCCAATAGAGTCACAAAGCCTAAATGTAATATAAAATTTTTTTAAAGTTAGTTACATTTTGCTATACTCTATTTTTATATTTTGAGCAATCGAAAGAGCTAGATTCTATATTTATGCATAATGAAGAAGAATTTTCTCTTAAATTTGATTGAAGTTTTTGAAGGTCATGTGTTTTTAGTCCTGAGTCTTCATATTCGATCCCAAGGCTACAGTCAATTGAAATGTAGTATCTGACTGTATTGCATTAAAAATGAATGCAGAGGCCAGACTTATCAAGATGTTGTAGATCTTGGTCCTTTAACTTTCTCCAATTAACCATTGTGGAACTGAGTTAGAAATTCTGTTAGAATATCATGATATTATCATAATGGTGCTATTCTTTGCAGCTGACCAAAGAAGCCTGAATAGTTGAGAATCTGTACCTGCATATGCGTAGAGATATTTTCTAAATTGTCTTTTTTTCGTGTGATTATCCTGTATCAAGTGCATATTTATTTTGGTGCTCTTAAAAATACATGTTGTTGTTATATCAAAGTTTTTTGTATATATACCAAAATGAAGCACTTTTTGATCAAAAAATTTTAAATAATATAAATATAAAATTCAAGAAAAACTTCAGATGGAGTTTCCTTTCTCAATAAAATTATATATTAAATGAAACTGATTCTGAACATTCAACTTTCAACATTCCATTGCTTTTGGGAATTAGATAGGCTCTCATTGAATTTAAATGTAACAAATGTTTATCTATGAATTTCCTATTATTTTTACTAGTTCCGGAGATGTCATGTTGTATTGTAGCAATTATTTAAATTTTTCCCAATTTACTATTGTCTGTTTGACGTATAATTCCTGACTTAATAATACAAAGCTTTGTGCTTTCTTAACTGATTAATGCTAATATATATGAACTCTAATTTAAAAAAAATATTTTGAGAAGAATTGTTGAATATTATACAGAGTCCTTGGTAAAAATAATGCATTGCCTGCATCACTATGCACTTTCTTTATTGTTTGCTGGATTTTGTTGCAGTGAACATAACTTTGTGCAGTATGAGTTTTATATTATTTTATGTTAAAATCTTCCGTACTGTGGGAACAACAATACAAATTGCTCATCAAAGTCATCCTTTTTTTGTAATATTTGTGTATGTGGTATGCTGTATCTTTATCTATCCTATGTGCTTTACAACTTTTGGGAATGGAGTTATCACGCAGGATAATATTCACCAGTGTGTGGTTTTATTCATAGATATTGTGATGTACTACCAGTACCATGTAGCAAACCCGAACCGTGATATTACTGCAAAAATTTTTATTCGGACTCTTCTTCTTCTTTATGTACTAGGTCTGCCAGACTCTGAATTCTAAAAATGATTTCTACATATCTGACTTGTCAAGTTCTCACCACACGTTTGATGTTTTTTTTCAATAATGTACCCTATCATAAGGAGAGGTCATGTACGAAATATTCAGTGAATGAACAGACGAATTGACTTCGAGAAATTGAACCTCGATATATCTGATGAAATATTTGGATGTGTATGGCATAAAATGATAAAATTCTGTAACATATTAATGTCGAGCAACCTTTTTACCATAGGAGTTATGGATGATGAATTTTAAACTTTTGTGTGAGCTCTTTTGTAGGCATTGCCTTGAACCACTCCAGCTTATTGCATTGTCGCCTTATTTTATTAATTTTTTGTGATTCATCTGACATAGCTTGCTGAAATCCAAATTATGAAAATCCAATTTGCTTCATCGGGCTCATATGGTACAAGTGCACGACAAATATTGTATTGTTTTGAGTAATTGCAGTTTTTGAATAGCCTTCATGCTGGCTTTTGGCTTGATGATTCTTCATCTGTAACATTTATGAAAGCACTTTCGTAGCCGTTACCTTGTACCACCTCAGCTTCTTGCACTGTCCCTTATTCTAACATAGCTTGCTGAAATCCAAATTTTGAAAACAAGGAATCGAGGTCATATGGTACAAGTGCACGATGAATATTGTATTGTCGTTTTAGTAAATAAGTTTTTATTTGCCCTTAATGGCGAGATAGATTCATGTCGAGTGGTGTGAAACACGCAGATCTGTTGTTCAGACACCAATCCCGAAAATTAAATATTGCTGTTATACTGATGGACACTATTTGCTACATTTATTTTTATTATATATATGTATATCAGTGAAATAATATTTGTAGCCTTCCATTTTCCCTATCAAGTACTTGCTATTTTTATGAACCAAATTTTTCAGTTTTCTTGTAATTTTGTCCTCTGTATGAAAATTTTAAATAAATATGTCTATCAAGCATATGTTTACTGTAGATCGGATTTTCCCGAATGACGGTTCCATTAAGAAAGGATTAAGAAATGACAGAAATGAATTTGTATAGGCATTGAAGGTCTTAATACTTCATTGCTGCAGAATAGTAAAATGCATACATACATTCAATTCATAAAATACATTCAAAGTTTATCATTCGTTTACTAATGGCTCCGAGTTACGACATTTCGCGTGATGTAAGTCGATGACTCCGAGCGACATTTCACGTGATAAAGGCGTGGACATTATACTTCAAACAAGGGAAGCAAGCCACAGTTCATCCGAGGTCTATGTCGGCATGGGACTTTTGCTCTAACGATCAGTATTCACTATTCACACAATTTCAGTGTTCAAAGAAGGAAGAAGTCGCTTGGATGCGTTCATTTATTTATCTATTCTTTTTCAAACTTTCTCTGAGTATATGGAGCCCGATATTTTGAACAAATTTTTGACTCATGGGAACACTTTGACACGTTATTTCAGCATGCTTGTCTGCCGATCTTCTTAGCGAACTCGGCGCTCGGACTTATGAAGTTTCTAATTCTTAATATACACTAATAATGTTTTCTATCACAATTAATTCAGGATGATTTTGTTACTCTCCAGAATTAATCTATGGTAAAATCACAATCGTGGAAAGTAAATGGTAGTAAATAAATAAAAAAAACATAAACGTATATTTTGTTGAGTTGCCCGCTGACTTGAAACATCTTTTTAATAATTTCTATCTTTCCGTACAAACAAAATTTTATTTGAACTTGCATCGGCTGATAAAATTGTGATTGGTTGAACCAAAATCCGTTTTAATTAAATATCAAATGAAGTCTTCCGTAACGTATTTGATGTCTGAAGATTTACATTTCGCACTGCTATCCTTCAATATCTAAACCGCTTCCAAATCTAACCTCAATCTGTACTTACTGATGCGCATCTACCACCATAATGCTATATAATAAATCTTGGTAATCTGGTGGTCGCCTATGACTTGGAAAATGAGTCCCTTCTCCTTTTGAGTCAATGCACGAGTGGCGTTACTTTGAGGAAATTTACTTAGTTCACATTAAGCAACAGACAGAGCTTTCCGTAGCCTACGGAAACGGAAGTATACGGGTCACAGTCAAACGTATGTGTCACCAGAGCCAGACATGGCTAGAGCTTCGCATTTTCTGATGGTTTCAGAATCGAATCGAATATTTTTTTTGAATCGAATCTCGAATACTTGGGAGTCAATGAGAAATATGTAATTGTATGCAACATTCATATTGTAATTGGTCTTGTCAACACATGAATTACTATAAACATTGAATACAAGACTCAGACAGATTGCTGGGGTTTCACACACAATAAAAACACGTTTTATCAATGAATTACTACAGAAAATAGTCATATGTCAGAATAGCGTTGAAAAAATATCGATTCACTAAAAACAAATTGGGAAATTCACCTCGACCATTGGTGGAAAGAAAAAAACAAGATGGCGGCGATTCGAAATTTTGCTCTGAACCGATTCGAATAATTTATAATTCGATTCGATTCGAAATGCTCAGCTCTAGACATGGAACAAGATTGAAAGTGAGAAAACGTAATATTAAAACGTCAATTCCAAATATTAGCGTCTAATTCACGAGACGTTACGTTGAATCATGTTGTGGCATTAACGTGGAATAGGCCAAGTTTCACTGGCCTTCTTTCATGTCCGTATTTTAGCTGCAATACATTTTTATGTTTTCATAATATGCTATTAAACAGTGAGTTTGTCGGTGTCTAACCACTGTGCCAACGATCGAATTAAGAGATTCGGCCACTTTCAGGGTGTGGATAAAAATACATTTCGCTCTCTTCTTCGTCCATTAGGACTTGCGTCGCTCAACAGATATTTCTAATGTCGAGTTGCTTTTCACAATAAATAACAAATCTGGAATTTTGTGTCATTCGATATCCAATATACCATCCACAGTACGTCTCATTCTTTTCTTATATAATCACCCACTTTTTCATGAATTTTTGTTCTCAAATTGTTTTATTTATTTATGCTAATATACTTGCTTAATTGTTTGACGTTATCTGCTGCTGCTGACTTTGATAGTCTGTTCGCGACTCTTCGTCCATTGCAGTTAATACATTGTACGTTTTTTTTAAAGGATTTATTTAATTTAATTTAATTATTTTTTTGTTCATATGTACGATGTTTGTTGCACGACGAAAATAAATATCTGAATCTGACACATGTTGATGTCGCAGAAGTGGTTTGTCAATGTATCGTTAAATTTCAGTTTCGTTTCAAGATAACGATGGTATAACGCAAAAAAAATAAAGTCTTAAGGAGTGATTGAATTTAACGAGCGTTGACTATTTGTAGATTTACTCGAACACGATTTAAACCTCAACGGCCACTTATCCGATTTGTATCTTTATTTGAATCTAGTCTAGAGCAGGGGTTCTCAAACTTTTGATGTTGCGGAGCCCTTGAAAGGTTGAATATTATTCGCGGAGCCCCAAAAGAAATGTTAAAATTGTTACTTTCAGATTAATATTCCTGAGCAAGTTAAATGTACTTTACTTATTTTAAATGCTGAACCTTTTTTAATAGGGTAAACACAAGTCATAAATAAATCTAAATTTCATACTAAAGCTGTAAATTTGACTCTTGACGAACATATTAATAAATTAGGGGTCGAATCTTTTCTCTTTTGACATTTTTGGAAGACATAAAAGGCCGTTAATAACGTTCGCGATTTCATTTTGTTACAATCGCCGATTTTTTTCGTCAGCATGGCGTGTTTTAAACATCTTTACGCCGGTGTTTATTCTCCCTAAATCAAATATTTCCCTCGGCATATACATGTATTGTTACACAATGACGACGTAAAATTGCTTTTTTGTTCTTATGGGGAATTATGAGTTCAATGTGAAAAACATGTTACCATATTATAGTCATCGGCGACGAAATGCTAAAAATAATAATCAATAAAGAGGTAAATCCACAACTCAAATTTCTTGATTGAAAAACGGCATTCTAAAATATTACAACTGAAACTTAAAATGGAAGATCACAGCAGACACAGCAGGTTTCAGCAGACTTACCTCAGATTGAAAACGCTTTCATAGACATTGTAAATCACAAAAGTTGGAGTTATGTGAGCTTTTCATCGTAGTAACTGCGAAATCGAAACACAGTCAATTGTTCGCGCGATGTACCTTTTTTTTCCTATTCTGAAACTACCGACGCAGCCGCACGCAACCAATGGTGCGCGCGATCCGCGATGTACCTTTTTTCATTCTGAAACTACCGACGGAGCTGAATGCAATAAAATAATTTTCAATTGTTCGTATTTTGCCCAGACATTGTGATTTTTTAAACGGCGATATCTTGCTTAAAAATAATCTCAAGTGCGAAAGAACAATCAAGTTTGACAAATCCCAAGATCGCAAAAATACGACCCCAATTTATTTATAGTTGGCAGTTTATGACATATTTTATGTTATTTTAGAATAGTATTCTTTCATTTTAGTAATCATAATAGTAATCTCGAATCAAACGTGAGTAACGACATTATAACGACGAGACACGTTAAATGCTCCATCGGTCATGGATTGAATATTTTACGCAACAGAAATCTCGTTATCCGTTTTTTTAATCGCGAAGAATGTTGCGCGAAAATTTCCGATTCCAATTTTAAACCACCTCCCTCTTAAGAATCCTGAGTCAGTATTTTGAAGAGTAATCGAATAGCTCGCGGAGCCCCTGGGTTTCTTTCGCGGAGTCCTGGGGCTCCGTACGAAGCACTTTGAGAACCTATGATCTAGAGCAAGGCTGCTCAACCTGCGGCCCGCGGGCCGCATGTGGCCCGCCGAGATGTTCTTTTGCGGCCCGCCGTATAACGTCTGTAAGCAGACTTTCTAAATTTTTACTATGTTATATAGGCTCAAATAATTTTCGTGTTTTGGTGTGCTTATTCCTGCCATCTATTTACATCCAAATGAATTTCGAGCCTAAATTTGCAAACCAATTTCATTCTGATCGCTTTCGTGTCGGCTTCGATCGTCTTTATCGCCATCGTCCTTTTATGTTTGTATTTTTGTTTATGTTATGTTTGCGTTAAATAAAATTTCGTAAATGTCGTCACTGCGTATCCGTCAATAATTCTGATAAAATTGACTTGATTGATACATATTCAAATTAGTATATATGTTCGTCCAGAAATCTTTTTAATGTTACTTCATTTAAATACTTGTATTGATGTTACAAATTTTATAAAACGGCCAACTAAAGGTTGATATTCCCGCGATATTGGCGCACAATATGCTCATTTAAGCATTGGGGCCGTATCATAGCCATGCACTGAAAAGAATAAAGAAAAACACTATAACGCAAATATAACACTCAGTTTGGACGTCTGTGTTTGTTAGTGAAAACTGTATGTAGATTCTCGCATGGTCGTCAGAAGTCCGCAAGTGTGTTGTGTCGTGATTGAATCTTTGATTCGGAGGCCCGTGAGTGTCATGTCCACGCCCAGTTTTACCAGATACCCCGATAGTAAACTGCTATTCTAATATTCAACTTGTTATTCGAATATTTTGCCAGCCTTACTCAGTGACTAGTGAATAACTATTAACTCGATTGATTTTATGTTGATAAACTTGTATTTTATGTATTAGATAAATTGTACCGAAATAGGGACTTAGCTGGTATTAATGTTTGGTACAAACGTTTGCGGCCCGCAACGATTTCTTCACGTGAAAGTGGCCCGCGAGTCGAAAAAGGTTGGGCAGGCCTGATCTAGAGGATTGTATCAAATATTATGTGGTTACGTGCTTATCTTTGAGCACTAGCCTGCAGCCTAACTCGATTGATGAAACTATGACTGTATAGCATCAGCAGAAACGCGAATATACGATACATGGGTCAGCTTTGCATCCAACGAATAAACAGTAGAAGTCTACTCGCTCTGAAATGTTTTGCATGTCCCAGTATTAGGGATGAAAATGA